GAATATATAAATAGGTCTCAATCTGAAACACTCACATCTGGGTCTGCTTGCACCCACTTTGAATCTGCAGCAGTTCTTAATTTAAAACAAAAGGAATACATGGTATGAGAGAACTGAATGCATTTTGTAGCTGACGTGGTGAGATGGTATGAACATTTTGTTGGCATGTGAAGCACTGATACTTCCACACTGTATTCCCAGAACATTCTTGCCTCTTGACAAGTTTATTCAATGCAATGCGGTACTTTACGAACAACCTACATAGAAATCCTGAGTTGCTAAATAGTACTTGCTAACTAACTGGGGGAAGGTAAACAGGGTATACCAGGGAAAGAGCTTGCTCCATGTTGATTGATGTGTCTGGATGAAAGGAGAGAAGCACAGTCATCCCTCTATAGTGGACTTAGTGATCCAGTGCCTGAGCCAGGCACTTTCACAGCACTTCAAGGATGTTTTGATCAGGCTGATCAATAGGAAATGGAATGGTAGTGATGTTACTGGGGACAAGATTCTTCCTACTTTTCTCCAGATATTCCTGGAGGCAATGTTGAAGTGAGTAAATTGGTTCAAGATGGACAAGAGGTGGGAAGCTTATCAGTGCCTCATGTTGGTAATCTGTGCAATTACAGATGATTCAATTCCATCTGTGTAATGTTGGGAGATTTGGGAATTCCTGGTGTCCTAACTTCTATCAATCTGGAACATGATCTCCATACACAAAGCTAGCTAGAACATCCATCAGCAAAAGGAGGCTTTCACCTTACCTATTTAGTTGCATTTATTCCACAGGTGAATGACAGAGAGAATGACAGTTCTCTCTGCCTCATTGAAGGTATTGAAGAATTTTAATTGAACACTTTATAATGACAAATATTTATGATATAGTGTGTAGCAAGGACAGTAAAATTGGAGGCTCAATAACATAGATTACCTTTGTAGTATCACGTAACTAACCATAGGAAAGACAAAGCAAATTAACAAGATTAAGCAGAATGCAGTGGAGTGTGATTTATTCACAAACTTTTTTTTAAAAGTTTGCCTTGAACTATAGATTGTCAAATATATCAGACGTTTTGAAAATAGGCAACAGGTTCAATAGTCTATACCTTTCCGTAAAAATTATAATGTGAACTCAAAGCAGAAATTCCTGAGTAAAATACACACACTGGCTGGAAGGCTTGGATACCCAGAGCACAAACGGAGCATTATATGGTCGAGAATTTATGCGAAAATAAAAAAAACATGCATTGCATCAATTGCAACTTTAAATCTGAAGTATCCAGGCTTCTGCAAGATGTTATTTTAATTCTTCATACTGTCTTGGAAAGTTACATACTTTCCAATACTTTCCATACTGCTAAATCATTTTTCAAAACTATACAGTGCAGAACTAGTCCGTAAAAAAAGCTAATTAATTCCCTCCCTTTTACTTCTTGTAAAAGTTGCTAATTAATTCCCTCCCTTTATTTCACGCTGAACAAGAGTACCCTTGTCATGCTACTTATTTTCCTGTGGTGCAATTCACAAACTATAATTAAGTGTTAGTTTGCTATCCACGATGGCATAATTATGCAGTAAGGCAAAGGTTCTACAAGGCAAATGCAACATCATTGTTAATTTTTCCAGTTTTTTTTAAAAGACACAAATGAAATGAATACCAAAGCATTGTGTACCTTAGCAGTAAGACTTGTTGAAATAAAATGCCAATATCTATGCTGGACAGTCTTTTGTAAAATGTGTATTTGCTAACACAGAAAGGACGGGCATTTTATTAAGCATATTTTCAAAGCCTCAGTTCCTTGGGGGTAAAAAAATGGCTACAGTTAATGAGTGTTTTATGAAATGTGATGGCTGAAAATTAGCATAAACTCAGAACAAAACTATGAATGGGCAATTGATTCAGTTAGTCTGAGCTTCACTGGATTCAAGCTGCAAATTATTTCCGAACTTGNAAAAAAATTATTTTCAGTCTGAAGACCAGTGGCTAAGATTTTACCATTATTCATCAAAACATGCAAGTGCAAACATTGGCCTGAAGCACTAATTGACTAAATAACAATAGGTACTTAGTAAATAGAATAAAGAAAAGGGAACGGAGATACGTGACCAACACTGATTTCAGCAAGTTGTTAAGAGCAAGATGATTACACAGTCCAATTTTAAGTAATATGGAACCCATATTCATACATAGTATTTGCATATAAAATAGGTAAATGTATTTACAACACAGCTGAATCTTATTAAATATAAGGCTAGATTTTCCAAGGTACACATAGTAATTAGTTCAACAAATGGGATCCTCACTTTCTTCATATACTTCACTCAAATTTTTGATTTATCTGATTCAAATTAAGAACGCCAAAAATAACTTGCACTTGTATAGTGTCTTTCATGTAGAAATAAAGATAGCAAAGCGCTTGACAATTATGATAGGGATCACACATCAGGGAAGCAGAGAGTAGAGATAACTAAAAATAAGAAAGGTTCCGTTTCCAAACTTTAACTTGTCAAACTTAGATATAGGTTCACACAAGAGCAAATTAATATCAGATCTTGTGCTTGCCTTTAGCTTATCAATGTCAGTATTTTTACAATTTAAAAATAACAATTTAATCAGATATTCGTATTGCCTGTCAAAGTGCATGTCACATCCTCCAAAACACAAGTTGCACATGACAGCCCATCTTGTAAATGACTGGAAAATCCATCAATCTTCATAATTTGAGAATTTAGACTTGGAACCTGTGAATTGCACCAAGTTCAAACACGTAAAATTAAATTTCTCTCAAACGAGAGCAGAAACCAAAGGTAGAGTTAAAACGTCATATTCCAGGCCTTCTCTGTGGTTACAAATATGCTGAAAACCCATTATTCCTAATAAGCATAATTCCAAACAATAACTTCTATTTAAATTGGACAATTAATGAGCCATTTTCTTTCCTTCAGCCAACCCTAAAAAAATTAAAAATGACAGCTGATCAAAACTCAGGGGAATTGCCAAATTGTCAATTTCACAGAAAGAATTATTGCAACGAAACTGAATTACGATCATCAAATAAAAATTGCAATGGTGATATGTTTTTGTTGTCCCATTTAGGAAATTGAACTACTTTTACGGGGCAAATATTTATATTTAATAAGCCATAATTTCAGGCAGCACAGTTAAGTGTCATTTTTAGAAAAACAATGCTAGATGCTTAATTCAATCTTCCTTTTTCATTGGTAGGATCAGAAATTATCTGGTGTGCAAACATGCTGTCATGGTGACCATTTCATCCGTGTAACCAGGATACACCGTGATTATCATAAGCTTCCTTTCTTAATATTAGGTTGTAATCATAGAAAACTGATAGCAGAGGCAGGTGTTTCATAAAGCTGATCCTCCTGAATGCTGAGAATGCAGAAAAACACTTATTATACCAGCTGGTTCCAATGACCTTTGAACTGCAGCCATGCAATATTGTAAATCCAGTAATTTTTTGCTAAGTTTATAGGATCTGCAAATTTTAAATTATTGCAAAAATATCGGATATTTTAAAACAAATCCCCGTACCTCCTCCAACACTGGGTTAGCACTAAAGTATGGACCTGAGACCTGTATAACGCTCCAAGTGGGTTGGGTCTGAAGTGAAGGTGAGAACTAGGTGCAGCACTCAGTGAATCAGACCCAGGAGCATTGTTAGTGGATATATTCAATTTGTTCTAAAATGGTCTGATTGCACACAAATGTCTATTAATGTTCAATTATGATAATCTAGCATTATTTTAAACTGCACAAACTATGCTTTTCAGGCAGACAATTGGCATTTCAAGATACTTTCATAAAATACATCCAGAGGCAGATCTATAGAAATACCGACAGATGTTAGGCTTTCATTGATGTCAATCATGATAACTGAACATCCCTTTATAAGGGGGCGTTTTCATGAATGATAATCAGTGAGTTTAAGGTTCATGTGGGTCACAGGGGCAATCTTATAAATGGACAGTTTTTTAAAATAGTTAAAACTTCATCTGTGAAGCGAGAATCTCAAAATTCTCACAACTATTGCAAAAAAGAGTTTGATGGAGCATTTGTATACCCATCTATACAAGTAACAAAAGCTCAACATGAGGTACAGCATCATGTGAAAACATAATGCCTTTAGCCATTTTCACAATATGGTGAATACATTTCCAGGTAGAGTTTGATGGGATAACCCATTGATGGAATAATGACAGCACAGACTTTATAGGCAACACTTCATTGCACACCAACACATTTTAAGAAATAACAAAAGTAGGTACTGAAGTATTTTGCCAAACAAGAGCAGACCAATAAATGGGATAAATTTCCAGGGACTTATCTGTATTGTTATTCAAATACTGTACCACAAAATTTTAAAAAAATTCCCTAATCATACAAATACAACACTAGATATTTGAAAGAACTTCTGAGCAGATTCCATGATTCACAGGTTTCTTTAGGATAAAGTACTCAAAGTACCACCAGCCTTCCTTCTCACATGTACTTTTTCCACTTGCATGAAATTCCCTTTCTCTCCAATTCAGAGCAAATGGCTAAAAATTCCACCCCTCGTCTCACGATATTGCTTTACAGAAAGTAAAATATGGCATTTTAGGATTGCTATGAATTAAGTAGCATTCTGCAGTTGTCATATCAGGGACGGCAAATGTGGTGGAAATCAGGAAATCAGCAGGTCAGTCAGTATTTCAATAAGAAAAACAGTTAACCTTTTGGATATAAATACTTCATCGGAACTGAAATGGTGCAGTGAGCATATAGGATAGAATTTGGAGTTACTGCACAGAAGGGCATTCAACCCTATGCAGGTTCCAGCTTAGGCAGACATACATAATATGTAAATCCTGGGTAAGGATGACAAGTTGAGAAACCAAAATCAGTGTTACAAAAACATCTAACGAAAGTCAAATGCTGAATCATCAAGGTTGCAAATGTTAATCGAGGTTTAGGAAAACCAAAAGCAAATAACACAGCAGGAAGTGGATTTTCTTTGCTTCCTAACCTGTTTTGCAATCTTTTAATGATGCATCAGCTACCTCTTGGCATATATAATCATTCTTAAAATCCTTCCTACCTTGCTCTATTCTATAATGAGGATGCCAAGCAAACTCATCATCTAAGTTCTCATGATGCTTATTAAGGTTCATGCCCAAAACATTAACCAACTTTTCTCCTTCAGATCCTGACTGACCTGGTGTAGGCCAAATACTTTTAAATTTCAGTTCTTTAGCCACTCGGTTGTTCTTTTTTACTTCAACTTACGGTAAAGATACTCTGGTTAAAGGGAGAACGGTTTGCACTAGCTCATGATTACTAAATTTCGAATGGCTACATAATGCATCTGCAAAAGGTGGGTAAATTGCCTGATATCAAGCAAACCCACTAGCAAATTGTTCTTTGAAAGTTTACACAGTAAAAATCGACGAGAGAGAGAGAGACTATCTCAGAAAAGTGAAAACATCTTTTGCCCCTCTTTTGCCTTCATGTGCTGATCGTGGAGAAGGGGTTGCAGACGTCCCTCCACATGGGCAACTCTCTAAATCCGGGTGATTTAACGTGCACTCTACGGCTGGCATGTATCCACTGTCCCACATTCCGGTCCCACACAGCTTACAGAGATCATGCAAGCTACAGGGGATTCTGGGCAGGAGGCGGAACTGGTACAAAAGGCTCCGAGCCTGCAAGGAAGACAAAAGAAAACACGAGAGTGTTCAGACACAACGGTTCAAATGTTTCTCCCACAAAATACACAGTCACCACACTTTAGTGTAATCAGTGAAGCACTTTGAGACGACTCAAAGACGTAATAAGGCGCTGTGTCAAATGCAAGGATTATTATCATTAAAATGGTACTTGGCCCTCCCAGAGTTTTCTCGCATTTTTCGAGTTTTCTTATTTTAAACCACACTCAACCAATTTGCATATACCTCTGAGTTGAATCAATACCACATTTATGTGCACTACTTATTGTAAAGCATTTCTTGACTTTACAGTATTAAAAAACAGTATTTCCTATTGGAAATGTGTTCTAATTTTCTATTAAACACACAATACCAGCGTTTTCATTTAAGGGGATCAAGCCCCAATGCTCACAAAATGTGCACTGGAACTATAGTGCAAATTAATGTCACCCGTACTAAACTGCAAATGTTAAGCTGTTGATTGTTCCTACCATCGGTGGCCGGGCTTTCAGCCTCTCTGCCCCACATTCTGGAACTCCATCCCACAGTCCCTTCGCATCGCTTCCTCCCTCGCATCCTTCAAGGTCGGTCTCAAGACCTTTCTCTTCAACTGTGCCTTTGGTCCCACCTCTCTGCCTTCCCTCACCCCTACACCATCCCCCCTCCCCCATGCTCGGGCCCCGACACCTGACTGTTCAGCGCTTTGGGACGTCCTCCCGACGTGAAAGGCATCTATAAATGTAATTTTGTTGTTGTTGTTGTAGTAATCGAGTTAGGTAGCGCTTCATTCTAAACCAGTCTAGCTCGAAGAAATATTTTTTTTCTTTACATTTTACCCACATCATGTTATAGGGATTGTGTTTCAAATAGCTTTTGGGTTGCAGGTCTAGTTTGGCCTAAAATATTGTGCACTGAAGTGTTCAATTTGCTGTATTTTAAGCTTCTTCACAGATGGGTGAGTCACTTACACATAAATATCCAAAACAGGCACAGATACCACAAAATAAACTGCTTCCTGCTTTGTAGAAATCAACAGGAAACAATCTGACAACAGCGATACCTTACTTCAATCGCTGGCCCTCAGTTTTCTAATCTGACATCTCAAACAGTAAATACCACCTTCAGTATAGCATAATGTAATACGGACAATTCTTATTAGTTATCTGGAGAGGATGGATAGTGCAGATGGTAAGAAAAATGTTCTTTGATCTCTTTCATTGGAAATGGGTTTGAAGCCAAACCAGAGTGATACCAAAAAATCCTCTTCTTTTTTTCTGGATTAACTTGTCCAGGTTCAACTCAGTGACTGCCTCCCAGCACACAACTGTTCAACATTAACTACAAAATAACAATTTCTACTCAGAGGCCTTAAAATGGCTTGCGTGCAAAATGGGAAAGAATTTCTCTCATAGAGAAACATTCTGGTGCGGTTACTATTCTGTGGCTGAGACTAAAGAATATTTTTCGAGCCAGGGCAAAGGCAACTTTCCTCTCCATTAAGCTGTGGAATGCCTAAACCGAACAACGCTTGATGCTGTCACAGTGTGCAAAAAAAAAAGTGATTCACTTCCCCAGCACCGATGCCTCACTGCTATATGCAGAAAAAACAACTAGTATCCCTTTGTTTAAATCTTTGGTTTTGCGAATATTTAAACAAAATTTCATAATGTAATCGGGAAACTCGCTTGAGAAATTCCTGAGTCCAGCAGTGGGAAGGAGCCAAAAATAAAGAATGAAAAAATTAATCAATTTTTGAATATATATATATTACTTTATTATATTCTTCTATCATCAAAAAAACTGATATTATCTGCTGTGTCTAATGTACTCTTATCTTTAATACACTCTCATTTATGTCATTTAGAACAATATTCTTCTGAAAATTATGACAACTAACAAAAGCAGCATGGCAGCATGATTTAGTCCGCTACCCAGCACAATGAATCAGCTGCACTCTCCAATGGCTTAAGAACAATGGTGGTAAAAATAAATCTGCATCGTCACAATAAACCTTCACCGTGTTCTTCTTAATTAAATGTAAATTTATTAAAGTTTGTTTGTGTGTGTGTATTAATTTCAAACAATACATCCTGTAAAAAGCCCATTCAGCACTCACAAACATCAATTCAGATGGCTTGCATTAGTTTATTTTTAAAAAAAACACACACAGCAATAGAAATAGTAAGTCTTGTATGTTACAAATTGCTGGCAGATCCAAGTAATTTATTCTGAAACTTTTCTCTCACTTTATGACATCAGCTGAATCTTATGATGTTTTGGTAGTATAGTAATCATGCTCACCATTCATGTGAAAAGTCTCTGGTTCAAAACCTGGTAGAAACATTACTTTTCGATACACAAAGGAGAAGGGAATAAAGGGATATCGGAGAGGGGATTAGGTGGCGGGAAGGCACATATGGAGTATAAAATTAGCATTGACTAGTTGGGCCAAATGGTGTGTTTCCATGCTGTAGGTCTATGCAATTCTATGTAATCCCCACCTTGCTTCTAATATCAGTGTTGTTTTACTGTGCATGGAATCAATTTTTAGAACTCCTTTCAGTTTGAGATTTTTTTAAAAAAAATCAGGTTACACATTTACCTTTGTTTCTTTGCATTAGCTTTATGTTCTGAGATAAGACATCTGTACAGTTGGTGCACACCTAATAAAATGTGGTTCTTACACTTATTAAACACAATAATCACATATTATTAACGGTTAATTTCCCTACTGCAAAGAAGAGAAAAACTTCTGTTAAAAAAAGCCCTATTTCTTAAGTACAAATACACACCCACACACAGAAATTACACCTCCTACTCAGTCAGCCTTTAATTAAGTCAGGTACTGCTCTCAGATTCAAGATCACGACAAACAGCAATAGACCAGAATGAGTGACCCTGGCAGAATGCCACAACTGTAATATCTTTGAAGTGTCCAAAACTAATTTGTTATTATGAAGATACAGATCTATTAAAAACAATTTCAGTACGTTTTTGTTCCACATTGTTTTGATTTGCTATTAGAACCTAGGTAAAATTCTGTGAATTCTGGTAGTAAAATTCAATTACCAACAAAGCTTTGTTAATCTTTGTATACTTGTACAAAATTGTGTAATTGCAAACAATTTATGTTGTAAATGAAATAAAACAAAATAATCCACTGTTCTGTTAAAAATACAGCTGTAATAAAGCTTCAGAAGATTCCCCTAAAAGGCCCCTCACTTTATCACTGAATTCTATAATAGTGAGGGGTGCATTATAAAACATTTGGCTACGTCCCAAGCAGTGTGTTATATGGAACAGGGGTCTACTTGCATTTGAATAACTTGTGCACCTGAAAATAATTTACCCACAATAGAAACATTTTGAATGGGTTCCTACCTTCCTTAGGACAATCTCCCCACTCATGTGCATGGCTAAGTTGCTGAAATGAAGCAGCATCTGGTCAGTTGCTAGCTGCTGTTCGATCACGTCATCCCCATAAATCACAACAATGGCCACACAAACAAACAGGTGGAAGTAGTCAGTCTACAAGAAATGCACACACATAATAAACTTTACTGCCAGACAGAAAACCATGGTGCAAAGCAATAATTCATCATTATATACGTACCAGATCTGTACTACGACTTACATACTGACACATCAGTAATTTATGTACTGCCCACATTAGATCACAATTTAGATTTTGCTCTATGTCTATCCTCCTGATACTGATAATTGTATTCAAAGTTCTCCCTTGAAGACACTCACACTCTTCCTTTCACCTTGGAGGTGGGCTGGTCAGACTCTCTAGACACTCATAGCTTGCACCGTTTAGTTGCTCACCAAGAACAAATGAAACTCCCAAGAACGAAAAGCAAGCAAATAGTCAGCTCAGCAACTGGTCATCTTCTGATTATCCTGTATACAGGAATGCTTTCAAACTTAGGTTACATTGGCATCACATATACCTGCATATTTGCACAAAGCATTTAATTCCACAGCTGGTTTTGTAGTTGTTCTTAGAATTTCAAACAAAACATAAATATTTAACTCCAATTCACCACGGGGAGCTTCGCAAATGATTTTGAACAGGATTGACGGAGAGACTAAATTGACACGTTCACTGACCATGAAAATTTCAAGATCATTTGCGAGGCTCTCTGAAATGATTGGAGTTGAATATTTCTGTTCTATCTGCAGACCTTTTTAAACGATCGAGCGAAACTTTATTCACTTTTTGTTAACCGGTGGATAAAGTTCACACAAGTGTGTTTGAGGTGGCTTGAATCATTTGATTGTAACTCTTCAAACATTTACATGGATTCACAAACCATTAGGTGATGGAATCAACTGACGATTACAGCAGCAATGAGCAAATATCATCCACTTGGTAATGTAGATAGTTTCCTGAGAGATAGCAAGCAAGCACATGATAGATGATGGAAGAATTTGGTCTTAGAAGAGTCTGTCATGTGGAATCTAGTGGATCTGGTTGAAAGACACGTTTAGTTTCCTCCCTGGGAAATGAGATCAAGGTTTTTTTTTAATTCTAGGGTAGCCAAGAAACTGTTTTTTTTTAGAAACTAAGAGCTATTGCGTGCTTGCTAGATAATTTGCATCAGGGACCAGAAAAGTAGTGATTGAACTTAGAATAGTGGAAGTGTTCTATTATAATCTGATTCCCTCTTCGATAGAAGATAGTCCAGTCTTCATGGGAAAGCAAGCTAGCCCTGGGAAAGACAACTTTGGCCTAATTTGAAACTTTTGTTCCGTCCACAAAATATACAGCCAATTCATTTTACAGTATATTCTGTGAAGCGCTTTGAGACATCTCAAAGACATGACAAGGCGCTATATCAAATGTAAGGATTATTATTATTATCATGGTCAATGGAGAAACCCAATATCCTGGAATACACTGAGAATCAATTCCCAATATGCCTTTGCTGGCCATAGAGGGTACATCCATTCAGGAAGAGAGGGAAAATCACCCCACTCAGGCTATTTGAGTACTTCCTATTCGGCGAGTCAAAATTTTGGGTTTCTCCATTGATCAATTAGCCTGCCTACTCTCTCAGCTGAAGAACAGAAATTTAAAAGAAATGCATACTTTGATGTTAGCGTCAATGTAAAATTAAAGCTAAATCATCGGAAACCCGTTTATTAAACTGGAACAAAATACAAATACAAGAATATTCAAGGCCCTTTAGAAGCAGTGGAGTAAGAACAGTTTGAAGTAGTCACCCAGTCTGTGACCTTTCCTCTGATCAATACACACTTCCTCTAATATACTTTTTGATGACATGGACAAAGAGGTGTGGCAGTGGCTGAAAGCCTTTCTTTTTTGCTACTACATTTGCTTTTCACACAAGTGACGAAGGTGACTTGGGTCACTAGAATTAGGACATGTGCAATATACTAACAGCATCCCACCCAGAATGTTTTATGCAGCTGGAAAGAAGATATTTAGAGTGTGCATATTTTCTTGGATACTTCCTGCAGCATTTATTTAAAAAATACAATTGTTTGGGCTTTTATAGGTGTATTAGCAGTAAATAAATCAGAAAAATTAAGGCAAACTTAAGTTGCCAAGATAGGAATCAACCTAACCACGGGTGAGATCATAAGATACCACGAAGCACAACATTGTAATGTTTTGAACTCATCTTAAACCACAGCTGTCAATTCACATTAGTTTCCGATTCAAACTATATTATAAAATAGTCGTAAGAGCACTGGCCTGTAAATTCAACTTTTTCCTTTTGTATTCTGTGTCAACATCAATCACATTCTGAATCAAGTGCAGAATGCAAATATACCTTAACTTACAAGCTGAAGTCTGATATCGTCTTATCTATCCTTGTTGCATCTTTGGCTGCCAAATTAATGCTGTTTTTCTGCGACCTGAATTGTACTGGAGTTGCCAAACTCATAACAAAGATCCTTAAGATTCTTTACTGAGAAAAGACGTTCATCCCATCTGATGTCTGGACTCTATTTTGACTGAGGTTTAAATGTAAAAGGATGGCATTATAACTCCATTACATCATGTTCCGTGTTCAGCACAACCTCTGGTTCTGTTAAGTGTAAACATCAGGGGAGTGGACTGAACCCAATACAATGCACACTTAGAAAATCTTCTTCAAGTATGAATCCCTAACAGCAAAATAAATTGCTTGATTCAAGAACTTGATGAACAAACATGTGCCATCGGACTAAAGCCTGACCTGGTAATGAGCCCAACATGCCTCCCAAATTCGAAGTGCTTCTGCTTCAGGAAATTCTCGTTTGAAGCAAAGGAGAATCCAGCGATGGCAGAACAACATCTGTAGCCCATCCTCGCCCAAGGATACCAAGTGCTGGTAGAAACGGGCGTGCATCAATCTCAGCAGCTCCCTCAGGTACAGCTTAAAAAGAAGATAGCGTTTAGGAACCAGTGTGCTCACATGTATTCTATTACAATACAAAATTAAATTTGTATAGCACCTTTCATGTTGGGAGGACTTCCCAAGGCGCTGAACAGGCAGGGATTTCTACCTAAACAGTGGGTGGGGGTTGGGATAAGAGAGGGTGGAGGAAAGAGAGGATGGCAGAAGGCGTGGTTGAAGAGGAGGATTTTGAGACGTGCCTTGAAGGAGGTAAGAGAGGGAGCGAGGCGAAGGTAACGTGGGATGGAGTTCCAGAGGGTGGGACAGAGAGGCACCAGGAGAGCATACACAAAGAAAACAAGCTTGTAAGGTACATGTTCAATGTAAAATAGTCAACTCCAACAAGGTTGATCAGGTTCAACATAATTTTTGAATTTCCTAATCAATTGGTAGTGAATGCCCAAACATAAGCTCTGAAGATTTAATTTCCACGTCTAATAGGCCAGATATACTTCATCGCTTGCATCAATTCAAAACGATTTCTGTCTCAAAATCAATGTCAAATATGCAGTTTAACTCCGGATACATAGTAAGGATCCGATCAGGAATCTAATTTAACCGAAGTGGCTTTGAGACCAGCTAATCACAACAATTCCGTTTTTCACAGGATGTAGTGAACACCAAGTAATTTAAACTTTATAACACTGAAAATATTCATAGGTGTCGGTCTTGTCTGTTGTACTAGCAAGTTGTTTTTAAAATTTACTTCCCCACTGGTCCTCAGGAACACTAAATTTTCCTCCAGCGTTTCCTTTCCACTGCCTAGCACAATATTTTCAAGCCTTCACTTTGCCAGAGTACAGATGGTGTGGAGATTGCATTATAGTTCAGTACTGCTAGCTTGCTACCCACCAATCGTTGCCCCAATCTAGAGGGAATAAATCTACCACTTTTAAAAACAAAGGAGCTGTGCGAATACAGATTTAACCCCTACAATGTTTGAACAAGAGGTGAAATTTCAGTTACAATATCCACAAAGCTGGTCAAGCACTTTCTGTAACAGGCCACAAAATAGCTGACAGTGAACTCTAACAATAAAATGATGAACATTGCTGTAACTTCTTGAAAGGATTACTAAGCAAACACAATGTTTCACCCAAGTAATTCAAATCCGAATCCCTGCATTACAAAAGGCTTTGGCTTAAGGAAGCAATTAAATTTGCTGCAAAGACTGTTAACTGAAATCTAAAGAGATAAAAATAGAAATAAAGATTTGTTCCAAAATTAATTTAGTCACCATTCCTGTTATCTTTGAGAAGTACAAGATGATTCAATACCAACCAGTTGTCTTTCCATGTCATCATCCCGCGGAGAGCTGATGAAAATCGTATTCTGCATCAATCCAACAAAGCACCAAAATGTGTCCGATTCATCCCTGACCTCTGAGAGTATTGGAGCCACCAAATCAGACATCCCCTGGGAATATCCTATCTCAGGGCTATAAACTGCGTAGTTTAGTAAGATTCTCCTGGAGAAAAGTATTAAAATACACAATATTTATGTATTTGTTTAAAAAAAGGATTTAAGATGCTGCAGATACGTTAGACATATCCCAAACTATTTCCGTAATAACTGTGCCTTGTTATGATTCACACTCATTCATTTCACACCAGATAATGTATTCTGCTGAAGAATTTTCTTTTCGACAGTGCCCTTGGTCACCTTCTCCCCACCCCTCCCCCTGGCTCGGTCCCAGGATCCGAAACTGAGACGTCGTCCGTTGTGGAGAGCTCTATATAAATCCAAGTTGTTGGTGGTGTTGTTGTTATTTCTATACAGAACACCTTACCATTGTTCATATAAGGTGACTCAGTTAACACAATACACAAGACAAAACTACATTTGTATAACGCCTGACCCTAGCAGGGTGTGTTCGGGAAGAGGGGTGGCCAAATGCACGGTCGAAGAGGAGGGTCTTGAGACGTGCCTTGAAGGATGCATAATGACACTTCAATGCAAAATGCAATTCTGTGTACATGGTAAACTGTTGTCCTGTAACCTCAGGTTGCCCAACTCTATGTTGCCTTCATTCTTCACAACTACACACATCACAAATGAACCTTACCTCATAGTTTCCACGTTGGGGTTGTTCTCTCCTTTGAAGAATTGATTGGATCGATCGGTTCGAACCACATCTTTATCAACTGTAAACTGAACTTTTCGCCAAAAGTCTTCATGTTCCTCAGGAGTCATCGACAACCTGCAAAACACAAATCATTCACCTCCAATCTCTTGCCTCCCACACACCCACCTCTTAATTATCTTCTCTTTGTGCTCACCAGCTTCTAAACCTCTACAAGGAAGTAACTGGGAGAAGAGGTAATTGATTCTGGTGTTTCAATGCTCAAATCAGCAAACTTTATTTAAAATGAAGGAAAGACCCGTTTTTAAAGACAAACCCATTGTGCTTTTGGGATCAAAGTAACTCCTTGCTTGGAAGAAAAATATTCAGACATGTTACCTCTCATCTATTTGGGAATGAGTTTTAACTTTAATAAATTCCTATTGGGTTGCAATATTGATAAGAGTTTGAACAAACTTCTCAAGTGTTTCACTTAGAGGAGGATCAGTTTTAAAAAGCATTTTTCTTGCCAAAGGACAGATAATTTCCCAAATAGACAGTGTTGGCTTAGAAGGAAGTGTTACTTGCAATCTTCGATTATTAAAGTTAATGTCAGGGTGGTTTTTAGCTTCTTGTTAAAGATGCATCAACAGGAAGTCAGTCCTTGAATCTAAGCCAAAAACTTATCTCACAGCACAAGCAAGCCACCTTTTCTGCTGAACTTCCTCATATTCTCTGCGTTTCTGAATCCTCAAAGCCTCCCTTTCCTCTGACGTGGATTCACAGATGTAGAACTGCAACAGGAATGGCCAGACTTCGCCACGAATCGTTGGATCAATACCGCCAAAAAAGATTGCCTTTGAAAAGGAAAATAGAAAACGTTATACTATTTATTTAAGTATCTAGCTTCTAGATTACCATCAAGTCAGTTTAATTAAAGAGCAAATCTGCCTTTTTTAAAAAAAATCACGGTAAAAACCCAATTAAGATGTTTTACTAAATGAAACTCTCTTTTCAGATTTTTTGAGTTTTGTCGAGCATGGTTTTAGAAATCACGTATATGCGTCACGTCACTTCTGTTTTGACAGGCAACAAAGCAAGCAGGAAACAAAAGAGATACTATCTTTGGCCATTGCATTTTGGATTGTCACCAGATATGAATTAAAATTCAATTTGTTGAACTGCAAGCATTTTAGAAATCCTTGTACATATGTGTATTCTGTTGCTGGCTGTGTCATCCTCCCATAAAATAAAACGGGCAAGTTGATGAAAGGAAGTCCAAAGAGTTCTTCCCTGGCTCCAGTGCTGGTCTCTGGCCAGTTGGTAGTGAATGCTGCAAGTGCAATCGCAGATGAAATCTCAGCCAACTTTTCCTGTTTCCTGTCAAAATGACACCTCGCCTCAGTCCTGCACTCAACAACTTAGCCAAGATCAGGAGTTTGCTGTCTGGTGCTCAGATTCAAATCCAGGTCTTCCAAAATATGGATGGAATGTAGTAAAATGTTACATCACTGGTTTGTTTCTGCTCAAATTATTTTTTTGTTTGAAGAAAAATTAAGCTCAACTACGCTGAAAATTAGTGATAAACGTTTTAAAATGTTCAGGCTTAATTATGTAGTTTAAGCAGCCTAGCATCTTTAACGCAAAAAGGACAGACAAAATAGAAATTTGTTTTTTTCCATTATTTTGAGCTGAAGGGGACAAACAGTTCCTACCTTAGCTGAATGACTACTAATAGTGGACTGTCAGAATCATTCCAGCACACACAAAAAAATCTTAATTTATTGACTTAATGCTGATGCGGTTAAATTCAGGTCTCTTGATGCTTTTTAAATTGCCCCTCTCCCCAATTTAATACCCAATGTGAGCTGCAGATTTTCGAACCTATAAGAGTAGCACCAGGCGAACTAACTCTGTTTCATTTTCTCTCCCATTCCTTTTTTGAGGAAGAGTCTCACCATGTGCTAGTAACCCTAGTGGAGATCGAAATCAGGTGGGAAACTGAGGCCTTGATCGGCATCCTACCCACTCTGTAAGTGGAGTTTCCAGGAGATCAAAAACTTTAGGAAATTCCCAAACCTTGCAGAGTTTATATTCCTCTTCCACTTGTCCAGCTTCATTGAGGTGATTCAACCATGTAGTGACATCCAGTCGTTTATACATGTTCTCCTCTGGGTGGGTCTCTGACGAAGGCAGGTTTGGGCGTTTTATTGAGAATTGCATGCAAGCCTTTACATCAGACACCTGGAGGGAATGGGAGTTGAAAATTATAGTGCTACAAAGAGCATAGTTGCATACTACAAATTAGAAAACATTCTACATCTTAACCATTTGATGGCTACAGTATCACTTCAGCATTGGGAATTTGTTGCAGGATTTGTCCACATAACAAATCACTAAGTTTCAAACAAACTCATTGGATGAGGTGTTTTGAGAACGCATGATACGGCTAGTATCAAATGCAACTATTATTTACTAACTTAATTATTTGATGTTTAAAACACAGACGCTCGTGTAAAAACTTCACTCGTAATATTATGTGAAGCTTTGAAACTTTGTTTTAAAAAGCAAAACTATGAATTAGGTTCCAGTCACCAAGTCAATCTGTTTAATCATTAAGATTACTATTAAGGTTACTAGAGCCAGATCATTTTCTAGATTGCATGGCATTGCAAAATAATGTCGCTAAGTCCAACATAATTACATTGCTCCAACAACCCATAATTGGACATCATACTATTTTTTTAAAAAAAACGTTGGAAACCTTTCCAGGATGGGAAACTGTTGAAAAGACTTCATTAGAACTCTGGTGTAAATGTTATGGGCCAAGATGATTTAAGTACCTGGTCTTTGTGATGGGTCTCTGTACAGCATTTCCACTGCTGAAAGACCTCACCAAGTTTATCAAGTCCACCGTGGTGAAAGTGGAAAACTTTGTATTGACTTTCCCGGCTAGCGATGACCAGCTGTCCGCATGTACATGCTTCGTCGCTAAAGGAAAGATTACCAAAAAAAAAAAAAAATCCTTTAGAAAAAAAGGAGATTCCGCAATTCTTTCAAACAATCCTCATCATTTTTTCTTAAATCTTCTTTAAAGTAGTTGTATGTTTGATTTTAAAGTAAGGGACAATCATTGGGTAAAATAATAATATCCCATAATACCAAAAATCGTCATTTTATCAGCATGTTACAGTCAATCCTGTGAAAACATCCTTCAGAGGGAAAACGCTCCATACCAAATGCAAGGATTAATGTTATTACATTAAGTTCTCAGATTTGAGACATATTGTTTGGCCTGGATCAGATTTGAAGCCAATTCCCAAATTGCATGCATGACTTTTGACTTTCTGTTCCCACTAGGAAACCCACTGGTCCTAGAGACAAGTCAATTACAGTTCTTTTTAGAGCAACAACTATCTTGCAAGAAAACTGCCCCTCTTATTGGAAGTGGTACCTTACACTGCAGAGATTTAAGGCAGGATTATTGCTCATTTATTCCACTTGATGCATTGCCATTTGAGAAGCCTTGTAATACGTTTAGTTAAGATTTTGCTTCATATGGCAACTCAGAGATGAAAACTCTTGTGTTAAGATGTATTATGTGCAAGAAGAAATTACAAATATGCATTGGTTATCTAATGATTCCATTCTTGTTCAAAACAAATGGTTCATAGATAGCTCTGCAAAACACATTGCAGCTCACAATAAGTTCTTTGTACAAACAAACCTCTTCACTACAATCTATTAAGAGAGTCCCTGTTAATCAGAATTAGGTTCTATTATTTATGAGGAAACACATGTCCTTTTATTACTTAGACTCAACAATCACTCTATTGAAGTACTTTCTACTGAGTAAACAAAAAAAAGAGTCTTATTGATCGAGAAACACACTGCCAATATCCTCATTGAGAAGAGTTACCTGGAAACAAGTGTAGTAAGGTATTTGAAAAGTGCATACAGTTTGAAGTATTAAATTAACTAATATTTAAAGATGTTTTTATTAAACTCCCTACAATTTTTAACAAAAATAAATTAGAACATCTAGTATTTTGTTAGTTGTTTCTGGAGCAACAGAACAATAGGTTATTAACTTTATTATTATCTACTAAACAAACAGTCGTGATCATTATTACAATTGTTTTTTAAATACTCTTTGTCCATCTTTTGTAGTTTTTAAACTCCACTAGGATTCCAGTAATTAGACTGCAGCACAATCAAAGATCTGAAAATATTTTTAATTTAAAGTATAATGCTATTTAGTAAACCATTCTATGAACAAGCACATTTTCCTTCCTGTCCACTGAACTAGATGACATTTGAAATGTATTTCTCCCCCATTTCCCACAATAGCACAAATACTGCTTGAAATCACAACAACTTGCATTTATATAACGCCTCTCACAAAGTATAGCATCTCAGAGTGTTTAAACAACAAACAAAAGCACGAAGGCTTGGAAATAACTGCAAACTGTGGATGGTCTGCTTGGGAAATGATGTTTAGCCATTTTGATCTGAAGACTGTTAAAATCAACGTTTTACAGATGCAATGAGACAGAACATATGTATTCCAAAAATTGCAAAGGATATAGCAATAATTTATACAGCAATAAGACAGCACAGTAATATTATCATAGAACCACATTCATGTCCTTGAGATATTATGCATCAGCAGAAAACCCACAAAAACAACCATAATCAGATGTTAATTAATTCGGGTGCTACCGGGGATATGCAGAGTAAGCAAAACATGAACAAAAACTAAAGGGATTTTTATAAAGAAATCTCCTACAAGCAGGAATGCTAGCTTCTCTATTTCCATCTCAGATTACCGTTTAATATAAAATATTGGTTACAGTAAGCAAGCCTTACTGGCATTTTCTGATCATCATGCTTGTGACATACAGAAATCGTATCCCTAGCCTAATTTACAGCTAAGGGTGTGGATGAATAAATGGATTATAGAAGTAGAATATAATTTATTTTAAATTTTAAAAATAGCAACCCAACAGAGGCTTTTTAAGTAGCAATGCTTTCTCAGTTATAATTATGAAAGATTAAAGGATTGTTTGCATCCAACTGAACAAATCTTATTGTATTTGAGAAAGTTTGGATACTCCTAAATATCTTGTTCCTTTAGTGGTAATAGTTGTGTCCTGTTGGGTCATTTGTAATCTTGTGACTTTTTATGACTGACTGATGCAATTGTTTTGCTTAATTTTGTACAGCCAAGTATAACTCATGTTCAAAATCACACGCTGGGTATTCTAAAAAAGAAACCTGCAGCAGACAATTATGATACAGTACAATAATACCACACAGAAACAGCTACAGAAATATTCTTGTTTTCAAAAAATCAGTTACATGCAATGTGACTGAAACATTAATGGCAAGTTGAAGTGCAACCTTAGACAAACATTCAGCAAATAATGATTCAATCCGATAAAGTTCATTTATAAATAAAGCTGAACTTTAAAGCAGCCTCCATTTACTACAAACTTATAACTGCAATAATTTGTGAGTTAGCAAAAAAAAATTCAAAATACAGCAGCAGTTAATTTGTTGTTTGCATAAGAACACAAACGTTCCTAATTTATTGGGTAAAGATAACAAAACCTGATAAATAGAGTGCAAGATTTCTGTTTCAATTTCGATTTGTTTTAAATTCAGAAGCCTGAACTAGATGCTTGAAGAACTGAAATCTTGAAACACTGGGCCTGGTGCACTCACTATCTGTTGATTTTACCTAATAAGGTTTATAGGGAGCAGTGCACCAAATATCTTTGAAGACATGCAAAATCTCATAGAATTACAAGTCAAGAAGCTGGACATTTTTCAAAAACAAGACTTGTGAAAGAAAGAGGAAAAAAATTATGCAAGCCCAATACTGTAAGATGTGTTCTGCAGTAATCACTAGCTTTGCAGAAACCAATGGCTAGTAAATGGATGCTATTCTTTCCGCACCCAAGTTGTAAGTTTTAGGTGTTATAGAAATGGAGTGTGGAAAATTTAAACCATTTTAAACCGTGCAATTGTTTGACGTCAGAACACTAGGTTGCTGAAGTACAACACCCCAAAATTAATCTAAACCAAATTTTCTGCTGGAAATTTTTTTAAATTGTGTTACCAGTTATTTCCATTCCTGCTGTGCAGTTTATGCTGTCAGTACTGTACTGGGAGTAAATCCTTTATAAATTACACTCTGGAGCGATTGGTAGTGTAAACTTCCCATGCAGTACAAAAACTCAATCATCTGCCTTTCATGTTGAGAGCAGTGCACTGAAAGGTAAATGGGTCCCTTGTCAGGCATTGGAAGGAACATTTGGTCTCCCCTAGCATCCCATTTTCAGATACCGTTTAACTCGCTGGCAATGAGATAGGTGGCGATTGGTAACCTTCCCATGTCTGGATCACTGCAAGTCACAATTAAGCATAGGGACCAGCACCCACAATTAGAAAGGATGCCGATTCTAATTCAACTCAGTGGTAACCGGCTGGCGTCATGTACCCATGTATTCCAAACTCATCCTTTCCATCAGGCACCCTGCCAATCCATACATTGCTGAAGCTGCGCCATGGATTTCACAACTGGAAATAACTCCTAAAAGGGGAAGACTATTAAATACTACAGGATCACAGTCTGTAAAACATCTGTCTTCCTCCCCCCCCAATAATCAGCAGCAGAAAAGGAGAGGTCAGAGCACAATACTAAAAATGTACTTAAATTCACAATCTTCTTTGTCTGCAAGTCAAGCCAGCTGTTAAAAGGTTTTGCTGGGGGAGCTTTAACCAGGTGTTCCTAGGCTGCTGGAGACCGCCTGCCGCAATTATAACATTCCATTTTTAGGCAAAACACTTCACAGTGCAACAGCATTTGCTGGCAAAGAAGAAGACACAAGGGGAAAGGAGAGAGAGAGGCAATAAAGAGGAAATTACTTAAGTTAATGGGAAATAAGATTTCTAACCTGAAGAAAAGGCGGAGCGATCGCATTTGACCCAGATCAACTCTGAAAACACCGTAGAGGTGCTCAAGTGCCAACACTTTTTGCTGTTCTTCCCATTTTGTGTTATGCAGCTGTGTGGAAGTTACAGAAAATTGCAGCCCATATTCTATATCTGAGGTGTGTTCTGAGACAGAGCTTGCTAAATGGGCCATTTGCTCTTCACACATCTCCCTGTGTAACAAAATAAAAGAGAGAATTGATTATTGAAATATATTTTCTAAAGTGTAATAGGAGAGTGGAATACGTCAAAATGCCAAGCACAGCTTCAAACATCCATGAGGCCAATACTTAGAAGAGGTTTTGTTTTTCATCAGTTCCCAGAAACTGGAAGGGCCATAGAGGCCAGAATGCTGGACTCATTTGAGAAACAGTTTGATGCTATAATGGTAAGATAATCGGGTTGATATCTTGGAAGGAGATGAAATAGGTTGCAAGCTAAATGATAAAGTCAAATCTCATGAGACAGCACTGAGTAAGGATGGCAGCAGTCTCTGTGGATCTCAAATCGTCACCAATGAATTACTAACTAGCAATAAAAAACATGTTTTGCATGTTTCAAGCAGAAAGCACAACAGACGTTTAAAACTAAAACTGGCTCTGGCTCCAATACAAGAGTTGAAGTGTATTGAACAGTATTTTGCTTTGTCAATTTCCCACTTTCCTGGCATTTTACAAGTAAGATTTATGTGCAATTGGAAACAGGGGTGTACCACCATTACAATTATTCCTGACACCTAATTATTGCTCGAAAACAACAAAAAATTATAAAAAGGCTGCATGTTTTTGTACTTTTTCTGAAAAGGTTACATACTTTGTTTAAAAAAAATACAATTTTTTTTCTCCCTGGGCCCATATTACTCCATTTCATATGTAACCAGATATTGGTTTGATTGTTGTTTTATCTGTAGTCTTTGTCTGCTTAATTGTACAAGTTGCATACCACCATTATATTGAACCATGTTGCCTTGGTTATACAGAAATTGATTTGATTTTGCAATCTAGTCAACAGTGCTCGTCTCTATGACAGCTAGATTAACAAAGATATTTTGTCTATTCTGCTATACAAGCAACTGTAGTACTTACTGTGTCAAAGTTCTCAGGGAATTTTCTTTTCCCTTTCCCACATTATTAATTTATTTTCTTCTATTACCCAGTATTCTTCCTCTCTTGCCTACGATTAACTCAAGACGTATCAGTTCACTGCAAAAAGGGTGGACAGGTAGACAAGAGCTGCCCTATCTGATTGTCCATTTTTCTCTCCTGAGCTGTAGATAGAACACCTAATCCTTGCTTGCCTTCTCTTAAAACAAATCAATAACTCAGTCTCCTGTCTCCCCACAATGAATTTCGTCATTAAGACCAACATTCTAGATAACCCAGTGAATTATGGTCTCATAGTTTCATTCATTAGGAGTTCCCCTGAGTGACAACCACCTAAACGTGAGTTGGGAACACCTTGATAAAATCTCTGTACACTGTACCCATTACGAAAACATTCTGCTTTCTTTAATATATACTCATGGAATAACCTGGGAATCTAACAAATTACTTTCCTTGGGGAGGGAGGAAGGCAGGAAAATGAAAGATTCCCATTCAATGATGTATTCTCAAGTGCATCCTTTAATCAATTACATCATAACATTATGACTTGTCCATCTATAAAAGACTTGTGTTGGTTCCTGAACTCAAGCACATGTTGCAGAATGGAATGAGTGGGCAACTGATTGTGAAATGACCAACACACAGATTGCATCTCAAGGTGTGATTCTTGTGAGTAAGCTTGCTGACGTAGTCACAGACAATCAATAATCTGAGTGGAAGGTAAAGATACTGTGGCCTTTATGAATAATTTGTTGCATAATTTTCCAAGGCTTGGGAAATAAAACTGAGCACAAACATTAATATATAAAACAATAACATTGCACTCATGCCACTTCCTAGACAAAGACTGCTGAATGTTAATTTCAAGAACTTAAACATTTATACAGATTTTTTATCTGAATTGCTTGCTCAATGAAAAGAATTTAATGATGTGAAAAGAGCCCTCAAGGGGCATGGAACAGTGTACACAATGTTATGCCCTGCTAGGTTAGATCATACAGCCAGAAAGCTATTTAGCTCACCCACAGTGGCAAGAGAATTCCTGAAAAGGTAGGGTCCCCACTTTAAATCAGGGAACAAAAGATTGTAAATTCTGTGCAAAACCCTACAGAACAGACTCAGAATGGTAGAACCAAGAATAAAAAAGGGAAATGACAATCCAAGATGTTGAGTCAGTGGACATGCTTGTTTGAGGTCTTTGATTGTCTTATGAGATACCTTTCACATTGCATTACATATTATTTAATGACTATTAAGTTATTTTGATCTTTCAAGGTGCAGATTATACAGCTTTTTCTGGGGGACGGCAAGTAACTATTTTAATAACTTTTTGTTGAATTTGCATCATTGAAATCATAATCAAATAAGCCAATACTCGTGATATTTAATAGGAGTGAATAAATTAGCCCCAAACCACTCGCATTACATTCGGATGCCCAATAGACTCCTAAAAATGACAGCACTTTACCTGCTTTCAGCATCGAGAAATACAGATCTGCTACTTTCTCCCAGAGGATCCCCAATTGGAGAGAGACACAGCGGGGAGGAGAAGGTATCGGAATCTGATCCAATGGTGCTGTCCCTGCTGACATCGTCAGTGGTTAGATCGCATGATGCCTCATCTTCCCCCTGCTCCCTTTTGGAGCTGACTTCTTCCTGACCTTCCGCAGAAGCTTCTAGATCATTTTGGTCATCTTGACAAGTTATGGTTGAGGAAATTCCTGAGTTGCTTTGGGCTTGCTGCAGTACACTGTGGGAGATCTCCAAAGTGAGGGAATGCTGCAATTCGCTCTGCTCTAACCCCGGTGAGCCGATATGCATGGACTCGGTCATGCTCTGCGATACAGTCATTATCTCATCATCTTCTGGTGGGGCCAATGCTTGTTTTTGCTCCTGGGTGCTCGCAGATCGGCGAGCCGCAGATGCTTGTGAGTGTCGTCCTCTCCTGCGATGTACCTTTCGCACGGGAGAACTTTCTGGAGTGATGTAACGTAATGCTTCTTCATCTTGCCGTTGGATCCTGGTGTTTGGGATCCAGGTGAGAATGAGTGTTGTACCCAGAAATTCATCCTTTTCCAAGTGCATGCATAAATACCCTAGGAAGGGAATTTGAGGCAAGGAAAGCAGTACATAAAATAGAACTCATATGCACGCAAATATGACCAAATCCCGACGTAAGGCTTGAACCCACAACCTTCTGACTCAAGAGGCAAGAATGCTACAAACTTAGTGAGGCTGATATACATTTTATATGCTTACAAGCATCCTCTGAGATTTTGTGCCTTTAAAAATGCTTTAATTTATTCCTTGCTATTAGTTAACAGTTTATTTTTCCTATCTGAACTATTATCTATATAAACTAGATTTGAGGTTTGGACAAAAAAGGTTAAACTTTCCGGGAAAAGTGACAGAATTGATGTTGCTCAACATGGCCAACCTGAGGCAGATAATCATATGGGTGCCCCATAGCATGGAATTCAAATGGATCAAATCACTTCACAGTCAATCCTATTAATGTAGACTTCATGACCATGGCATAACATTTAAGCACTTAATCCCAATTCAAGGAGAGAACATTTCCCATTTATTCACATTTTTATTGCTACGCTTTTTACGCGTTGAACAGTGTTAATCCTGCGCATGTTTTTTTTGCACACTTGCAAATCCAATTTTCTGCAGTTATATTAATTTAGGTTCAGTTGCAGCAGAAATGAGAAACTGAATTGAGCGCACAAACATCAAAAAATGTTCTGTAAGCAGCCTACATTTGGTTGGGAAGCTTCTGTAATTTTAGTTTAGGAGGATTTAACAGCATTTATTTTTAAATTATGTTGTTACAGCACATCCCTTTCAGTCTAGTTAATAAGTTTATAAATATTTTAATATCCACAAAAGTCATATTTTTTTAAAGTATATATTTGCATTATCAACAGTTCAGAAGAATCATGCCAGAGGGTAAAACAATGCACGTAAACACAGAACAAACAGACTATGAGTATGCCTGTCCAAACTGTAGTTATAAAAATATAAGTCTTGTAAATACAGTATAGGAAAAAAATTATAGAAAATATTGACTCTGGTTCAGACATGATAGTAAACTGTTCTACATAATTTATTTGGAACGCAGCAGTTGGTTCTTGCTATAGCATGTTGCTTCCATTTCCTGCCCCTTCATCACAAGACGGAAAGGCTTATGCTGATCTGTGCACATGTTATGTTACAGCTTCAGCAGAGGCTCAGAGAAAGTACATAGTGATGCACTCGATCCCTTCATAGACAGGAAAAAAAATTGCAACACTGCAGCTGAAAATATATGTTAAGAATGTCCTAGACATAGATCATAGCAAGGCCAGCTGTATAGAATTCCCCACATTAGGAAAAGTCTGTTAACCCAATCAATGATGCACAGCTCTTGCCAAAACCTTTTAAATTTCTAATCTGAACAGATAAATCGTATGAATGGGTATGCAAATCAGGCATTGACAAAATGTAAATTATTAAGAAGCAACCTGGATTATTTCTGGGTAAATATTCATGGATGACTATTTAACAGATAGATACATGTTTTAAAAAGGCTTTTCACCCATTTTGCAAAATCAATATTCTAAGTTCTGTGATAACTGTGTTCCATTACCTGCCATTCACTGAAGAACACTGCCTGTTGGTGGAAGGTAGTGGGCATTATTAATAACTATATTTCCACGTGTCGCTCTTTTGCTAATTACCAAGAGCATTTCAAGTCTAGTGCATAAATATATACCACAGCTCGATATATTACCCTTCTTACATTGCTTCTGCTCTTTTAATAATAGGTACAGAAATCACCCACCCTCTTTAAAAACATGATGTTCACTGATATGATTTGCAAATCTCATTATATCCAAAGCTTACAACTGTATTTTCTTCATTCCTCTATAAGAACTTGCATTTCTGGAAAAAGTCACCTTATGCCTTTTTGGAAAACACTTACCTTGGTGTGTCTGAAAAATGGACATTCATAACATTGCTGTTTTGACTCATTTTTTATTATGGAAACCTATTTTAAAGTACTTTATTGTGTAAACTTTACCCTTATTATGCATTAGTTATGCTTTCTGACTACAAAGGTTTCACTGTCAAACACACTCATTCCTCCTTAGGCAATGTTAATAGCAAAACAAGTTTGGTAACAAACAATGATGTCATGGAACACTAATCTGACACTGGGTGTAAGAGGCTACGTTTGCAATGGGTATATGAAAGCGATTGTTTGGTCAATAAATAAATTACTGCAGTAATAAGACCACAGGCTGTAGTTCCGAAGCTTTTCTCCCCCTCATTACCCATCTTTGTGCACCAAACTTGTGAAACAAAATGGAAGCAAATTCAGAAAGACTTGGATCATGCCTTTTTCCACAAAGACATAACACTTCAGATAACAGTAATGAATGCAAGTGGTTAGGGCCCAAAGCCATTGGATTTTAAATGCAAGGTGATCTATTGTAAAAAGTCTACAGTATTTTCAGTCGTCTTAGAAGATTGAAATGGCTTAACTTTTGTTTCCAAGAGCATAGAGCTCATTTTGTATCCATGCAACACAGTCCAGGACTACCTCCTGGTGCCTGATTTTTGCTACAACATCTTCAGAACACTGCAAGTCACACTATTTGCTTCCAACTAAGAAAAAACATCCAATTTTATGACTCGATGGTAAAAATATTTGGCACAATTGAAATCCATGATATTATGGAAATATTGATCTCAAACACATAGATGGCAAATATTTATTGGCTGAACAATGAAACAGAAGTGGAGAACATGACAATTTTCTGATTTTGTTTTGCTTTATGGCAGTGGACTACAAATTCCTAGAATATTTCAGGTTTGGAATATCTGATGGAATTTGCTGCAAGCACAGTAAAGCTCAAAGCCAATTGAATTTAGGAGGGGGTAAAGGTTTTTACAGGAATTTAGAATGTCAAACCAAAACATAAATGTACAGAAATTTAAAAAATACTTTGTAAATAATAGAAATCTGAAATAACAGAAAGTCCTAGAAATACACAACAGGTCAATCGGCATCTAAAGCAGAAAGGTCACAACCAGTTAAAAGTTTCAAGAGTGTTGCTATCTCAGAACTTGGTAGTTACGGAGTAAGTCTTCATCAGAACTGGGCTACCAAGTACATCTTTCTTCAAGAAGCATGGCACCATGCTTGTTAATTTCTTTATTTGATCTAAAGCAACCAAAAGATCCATGGTACCATTCAAAGGGAGAAGGAAATTTCTCCTGGCATCCTGCCTAATAATTGGGATGTTGGTTCTGTCGATCAGGATAAATGTAACATTCTACTCTGAATTATGATGCGCTTAACAAACCATTCAAGATGACAGTCACAAAAGTGACGGCCTTCTCTTTTCTTCAATTTCAGCTGTTACTACATAATTTGCTCCTTCATTCCAAATGTTTGTCCTGAATTTTCCAAGGTGGGTAAACATCCTGGTACTGTAATTCAGAGATTATCTGGCCATTAAGAATAAAAGACTAAGTGGTAAATAAACCAACAAATATATCTTATGTTAAACAACATTGCAATTTACTACTTAAATAACTATTTTGGTTTCTGGTTGACCACTGAAAGTGATCTTTAAATCCTTGCCAACTCAACTGGAGAACATTGCAAAATGCTGAAAACAAACATTTTCGGGTTCAGTGCCTGTACCATACCTGGATGGTGTTCTCCGAGACCTCGCAGGACCTCTGGAGCATGGACGCAAACATTATTTTTTGAGTAAATAATTTCACCATCAAGAAGCCTCAAGGAGCCACTCGACTGATTGAAGGTCAGGAGGTCAGAGGCCTTGGAGGATGCACGTCGTAAGAGCTGACCCAGAGACATCTCCAGGAGAATCTTTCCATCATCTGAATTCTTCACTCTAGATAGAGCAAGGCAAAAGTTATAAAGAAATATCTGGGTGTATACAGAGATCTTTCACACTGCATGATTCTCGGCACAGCACCCCCAACCAGCACCAGCATTAGCATGTGTCTTATAATAAAAATAACAATCATAATCTTTGCATTTGGTATGGTGCCTTATCACGTCTTCGAGACGTCTCAAAGCACTTAACAGTAGGAGTGTCACTTCAGCCACTTTTCACCTTCTTTCTGGACTCTCTTCTGAAATCCCTCTTCCTCATCCTCTGCTTTCGAATGCCTCTTGAAGACCTGCCTTTTTGACAGTGTTTTCAGCCACCTCTTGCCCACCCAAGATCCCACTTAATCTTTGTAAAGTGCTTTGAGACATTCTCCCATTACAGAGAAACTATTTCTTCTAGTGGAGAATTCAGAATAAGGGGCATAGTCTTAAAATTAGAACTAGGCCATTTAGGAGTGAAATCAGGAGGCATTTTGTCACACAAAGGGTTGTGGAAATCTGGAACTCTCTCCCCAAAAGGCTGTGGATGCTGGATTCCATTCAAATTTTCAAGACTTAGGTGGATAGATTTGTTAGGTAAGGGTATCAAGGGCAGATAATTGGAGTTGAGGTACAGCTCAGCCATGATCTTATAGACTGGCGGAACAGGCTCAAGGGGTTGAATTGCGTACTCCTGTTCCTATGTTCCCAATAACAAAGGTGTACATAAGTGATCCCAAATGTTTAAGTGAAATATTAAAATCCATTTCCCCTTGGTCCCAGATTTTCCCCCAAAGCTCAGAAACTGATCTCTTAATATTATTTGTACAGCGATACTCCTGCTTGATTTGCACGATAATACTAAATGACCCTTGAGCCAGCAGAATATATAATAGCCAATGAAAATAGTTGTAATAGCAAACCAAGCCCAAAATTGATTCAAAACTAGATTTCAAACCTGGTGCAATAATCCATGGAAAATCTTATAATGAACACAAATTTAAATATTCATTATGTAATACTGTATCTAGTAAAAAGCTCATTCACTACTAATGCTGACAATATATGTTCTGTTTTGAGCATGAAAACAAAAACTGATCCCTTTCAATTGATTTAGTGCTGCATTTTCAATTCCTCATTTTTAAAGATACGGATCTAACTACAAGCAAACTGTATGACTTGACAAAATGTTTTCAGTTTTAAAAATATATATTCTAGCAATTTATAAAACATTCATTAAGAATGGTTAGGGACTTTGATAGCTGATATATCAGCAATCAGTTATCACATTATTTTGTGCCCCCAATAATATCAATCATATTCTCCCGGATAACATGTTTCCTGCTACTTATCCAACTATTATTTTTTATTTGAACATTCCGCTTAGGAAACCAGAAGAATAGAATCTAACAATAGATCCAGTAGCAATGATATAATAAGGAATTCTACATTATGGCCTTAAACTACATCATGTGGCTGGTCAAGTTACCTTGGCTATAAATACAAGGTGTTCCGGTTTCCTCCAGGACACACAGTGCCACTTCATATGCAAGCTACACATGAAAGAGCATGAAAGTGCTAATCTGAATTTTGGGACATGGTATAATACCCTGGAGCATCCAGGGAATTATACCACGTCAGACTATGCTACTCGAGTATAGAGCAATCAGTTTGGATCACTGGTTGAAGTTGTGCAATTTAATCAGGGTAATGATTGGCTGCTCTGTAGTGCACTATGATTTTTATACCATAACAACATCACTACAGACAGAAATTAAGTACAGGTACTTAATTATAACTAAAACAATACAGGAAAGGTAATGATTCTTTACAGTAAACCATAGACTAAAATGCCATCAGGTAAGAATGTCATGAAATGTGCATAAAAGATTGATGTACAGTAGTTTGGAAAAGAGTTACTACCTTGGATAGTTGAATCTAATGAACATTTGAGTCACTAGTTGGAATTTTAGTTACTCTTGGCTGTCTAACACAGGATCTATTGACTTACCTTGAACTAGATAGATTGCCCATTTCTGAAATGGCTCAAATCTTGTGTGTGTGACTGCTTGCTTTATAGTACTCCACACATCAACACGTGGCAACTGAAATCTTGCTGCATTTCAAAAGACTGACCGAACGCATGGAAGGGAGAAATTGTTCCAAATCCAGCTGGCACATTTTTGAGCCCCAAGCTCTCCTTCCAATTTGATTAGGGGTGTGAACCGCTTCTTCGACCAAGCCGAGGTCGCTAAGCAACAAATATCTAAGCTGTCCAAAAGACTTGGTTTAGACACGGGGGCAGCAAAAGCCTGAAGTTTAAACAATATGCTTTCTCCACCTCAACACGATAGGCAGCAGGGACATAATGGAGCTCTGGAACCTGAGGACTACCCCACTTTTCTGATGAAATGATCCTCAAAGAGGAACTAATAAACATTGCTGAAAATGAACGATAAATTCAGTTTTTAAAAAAAGTTGACACGTACAAAACTTTTCTCTCCAAATGGACACAAGTTACAAAGAAACGGAGGCACAATCCATCGGAAAATGCCAGCTGAACTGGCTTGGAAACTAGAATAACCTGTCATGCAAAAGGGAAAATTTCTATTCTATAGAAATTGAAACACATTTGTTTGGTTCTAACTGATTAGCAAAGCATTCATTTTCACCAGTACTGCAACAGGAAAAGAATGGTTTTCGATTACCAGAACATAATGATTAAAGCTGCATTCAAGTCTGAAAATATAATTTACTGTGAAGTCTGAGTTTGTTGTTATGGTTGTAGCACACAACATACGCATTCAATTCACTTTACAGTATATTCTGTGAAGAGTTTGAAAGGTCTTGAAGACGTGAGAAGGCGCTATATCAAATGCAACGATTATTATTATTATTATATGCTAGAGCGGCAACCATACAAAGGCTTATTTGTGTGCATCTCCAATACCAAACAATTCTTGTTAATCAAGTATTGATTTACAGTATTGATGAGTTGAAACCTTTTTTCCCTTTAGCCTAACAAAATGCATACAACAGTTCTGCACTGATTCCAAATATTTCTGTCTACGGTCACCTCCCCCCGGCTCATCGTCATGCTCCACCACTGTCAAGGGTTCTGGCCGCTACCCGGCTTAAGGGGTGCTATATAAATGCAAGTTGTTGTTCTTGCTGTAGCTCTACGGTACAATGACTCATATAGTCAGTGAAGCCTCATTCTCTTCTCTTGTATTCCATACACTCTGTGGATGGTATAGTGTAAATCTGTAAATTCTCAGGATTTGTTTTCAACCACTAAGAAATTTCAACCAAAGAAAGCTAAAAGTAATACCATGAGGGGAAATAGGAAAGGGGGTGAGAGAGAGGGGCAGGTAGAAAATAGCTGGTACTGTAGATAAAAGAGAAAGGCACTGTAATGGTGAGAAACAATTTTCACTGAACAACCTTTGGTATAATTTTCTAATGACTCAAAGAAATTTAATCTGTAAAACAGATTTAATTTATGTGATATTGTGAGAATATTTCCATCCAAAAAATGAGGTGTTATGAGGACATCCAAATTAACTCTTGTTAAAAATAAACAGAACAAAGCACTGTACATAAAATTGGCATTTTGTTTAAGATTCTCTTCCTTCCTTTGCTTCCCTCCACATTCGGCTTTTTCTCCTTTGCTTTTCCCTCTTTATACTGGAATACTGTTCGCCAGCAAGACAGGCGTCTGATACTTTGCCTAAGAATCCACTGTTCAAAGGTCAGACTGGATAGTGAGTGTCAGCAGGCCCTTTTAGCTATTGAATGCTTTATAGCCAAGTTTTGCTGGCAGCCACTAGCGGGGGTCATTAGATAACAATCAGAAACAGAAACCCTGGCTGACATTTTGCCTCCATCAGTGTTGCCAATGGTATCATTACATACAATAGAATAAAATATTAACTGAAACCTTATTGATCCTAGAACTCAGCTATACCGAGTCATTGACATGTTTGTTCCAGTTTCCCCTTGCCTCAGAATAAGCCTCTGCTTCCAAACCTGTTGGCAGTTTTCAGACCTCAGATGTTAAGATCTAGTCAGCCAACTAAACAATCATCCTCAGGCTACTCCTATTTCCTTCCTTGCAAACCAACTAGACCAGCACTGACATATTGGTTTCCTGCCTTCTCTCTCTGCCACATTTGTTACATGGTCCAAAAAGTCCAGGACAAAGTGCAGATAAAACATTAAAGCTGTTATTCCCCTCGACGCACAAAAAAATAAAAGGGTGCAAATTGGACTGCAGATGGATTTGCAGATGGTATTATTGGCTCAGGAGTAAATGCAAACTAGTATTAATTGAGACACTGGCTGAACTAATGCTCATTTCTGATACCAACACATCACTCCTGCCAAAGGAAAATCCAGCTGGCAAAAGTCTCTGGGTACAGCCAAGAATCCTAGCACCGTAAATCAACTTAGCAGAAGCTCTAGTTCGAGGTTTATTTAGATTGCTATAAGACACCATTGCAAATAATCTGTGATATCTCACTCTAAATTGTATGTATCTTCGGCCAGAAGATAAGGAGTGGAGCCAAATGGCAATGAAGCGCTTCCCCAAGAACAGAAAGGAAAAGTCAATCTGGGCTACAACATTTGCCACAATTTGATAATTGTAGCAAATCTAATGAACAAACAATTCTGCTGCATTCATTTACTCAACCTCTACGAAAAGATTCATAATGGCTATTTATGTAGCTACAAATGTGTTCAGGACTGTGTAGTATTCCTTCAGCAGTCCACCTCTGAATAACAGGTCTTCCTTCTCTCACTCTCCCATGGCCTCAAGAGATTTTCAGCTTCCATGAATCAATTAATGCTTCATTTACTTGGCCTTTACTTTACACTCAAATTAAAAACCCCAACTCTGTACAAATAATTTTTTTCAATAAACTCAATCCTTTGTCAATTTGCCATCATGGTACAGAAATAATCCAGCGGTTCAAAGGCTTACTCAGCCGACTGTTAATGTGGGAACAACTACTGGTAGAATTGATAGGTCAGCAATACACAGTACAGTGAGTAAGTGGAATCTGCACCTGAAATTACAATAAGCAGTGATCCTTGTTACAGCCAGCTTTCACAATAACATTTCCATTGTGTTTGGGTTTATAGCATAAAACTAATCAGTTGCCTGCCACAATCACTTCGGCTCAGATTTTAAAAGTGGCCTCTTAAAAGCCACATGATTCCACTATCTTTACCATCTAAAATAATTACAAAACTAGAATTCTGTGCAATGCAACCCTCCATTGTATTGGAGCACACGCACACAATCTTCACAGCACTTCATGCATGGGGAAGAAATCCAACAGGAACCATCATGAGTCACATACCTAATTTCCCTCTAACTATCTTCAAACCACAACACCCAGTATGCAAAGCATGTTACGCACATTGAAGCACTATGTCAACTATCTTGAAAATATTAGATTTTAAAAAAATTAAACTGAAATGTTACACAATAGAACAAGACCACATATGCATATTTCAGATTTTTTTTTCAATGTGTAAATCATGGGGGGGGGGGGGGCTCCATGAACAATGGAATGCAAAAGACTTTCTACCCTTTACAAAGATTTATGCGTGTTTCAGCTGCCTTCCAGGCACCATTCAATTTGAAAAGGCCATCCAAAGGTGCAAACGTTTTTAATGTTCAACATGATTATAAGTAACTGTGTCTAGCGCGAGAAAGATTTCTTCCATCAGCACGGTGCTTTAAATATATGGTTCCATAACAACGTTCCTTTATATTTTCAATTACTTTAGTCTGTAAAGTACTTCAAGACATCCTTTTGCCCGAAAGTGCAATGGAAATGGAAATGGGTCTCTCGAGAATAATTTGGAGGAAAATAGAGGGTCTAAACTGTGTCACAGAAATGAAAGTTTTTTTAAAAAAATCAATTGAATGAAACATAGTTGCCTTTTATTTCAACTTCCTCTGAAACTGAATATGTAGCACAAGGTACGATAACGAACAACAGGAACATACTTTTAAAGAACACAACACTGGATACAATGTTTTGGGAACAAAATGAATAAGTACAATAGATAGTACTGCATTCTCCATTGTTTATTCTCTGGATCTGGGATTCCCAAACTTTCTGCACTCAAGAACCCCCATAAAATTAGTTATCCTGACTGAGAACCTCCAATGGGCCTGCGTGGGCTTCCTGCAGGGCCGCGAAGCAGGGCTGCTGGTACAACAACAACTTGCATTTACTTAGCGTCCTTCACACGGGGTAGGGTCCCAGAGCGCTTGACAGTGGCAGAGTCTGACCCTGAGCCAAGGACAGAGGGAGGGGGTAGGTGACCATAAGCATGATGAAAAAGGAAGGTCTTTAGGCGGGATTTGAAGGTGGGGATGGTGGGGGCAAAGTGGAGGGACTGAGGGAGGGAGTTCCAGACTTTGGGGCATAGTGGCTGAAAGCATGGTTGCTGATGGTGGGGCTTGCCTTCTTGCCTCCAGTGCAGATTGGAGCTGTTCCGCAGGCACTCACTAGAATTGTACAGTCTGACAAAGTGCCTCATCAGACGAATTGAATTACGAGTTACTGTGAGCCAGCCTTTGGGCTGAGAGGTAGCATATCATAAGAATACTCAGGTAGATCAGAGCTCAGGTAGCAAGTCCTGCCTTCTCTGGGACCACTCATCAGGGGCTTATCCAAAGGATCAGCTCTGTCCTCTGTAGAGTGATATCCTCTACCTGGTATCCGAGGCACTCCAGGTTACCCATCACTATTATTCAGCACTACAAAAAGCTGCTCGGGGCACTCAAATCATGCCCCCACAACAGCCTGGCTTGGCCACTTTCTTTTGTCAGATTCAAACTATATGCATGCATGCATGTATGTATGTGTGTGTGTGTGTGTGCGGGCGCGCACGCTCGCTCTGGGATGCTACTGCGTGAGGGGCACTATATAAATGCAAGTTGTCGTTGTGTACTGGTCAGTTTCAGGCTAAGTGAATATGTTTGTCTTTGTGCTGGTCAGTCTTAAGTTGCCTTTGTGTGTGTCTTTCTAAGCCGCTCCTCGGGCTGCTGTTGGACAACTGTGCAATTCCTGCTGCCCCCAGTGAGTCTCCCAGCTCCATGACGTCCCTTAAACCATTTTGCGTCACCCCCAGTTTGGGTACCGATGCTCTATATAAAGGCACCGAACCACTGAGTTAAGGAAACAATTCAATTGATTGTTCACTCCACTGTTAGTGTCATCAAAGCAACTCATCAATGCTAAATTATTTTCCTTTCCTCCCTGTATTTGCTGTCCCCTGCCCGGCCCGCCCACCTTCTGCAGTCGCACCTTCAGCCTCTCTGCCCCCACCTTCTGGAAATCCATCCTACATTCCCTTCGCATTGCTCGCTCCCTCCCTCGCCTCCTTCAAGGCACGTCTCAAGGCCCTCCTCTTCCATTATGATAATAATCCTTGCATGTGATATTGCGCCTTCACATCATCAGAATGTCTCAAAGTGCTTCATAGCATTTTGATGTAAAGTGCAGTGCTTGTATTTATAGGCAGACGCAACAGTCAATTTCCACACAGCAACGTTGTGAACGACCAGTTTTATTTAGGCATTGTGGGCCAGGAGAATCTCTCTTCTCTTTAAATAATGCCATGGGATCGTTAACATCCACCTGAACAGGCAGATGGAACTCCGCATTAAAGTCTCATACGAAGAACAGCATCGTCAACAGTGGAGCTCACCCACAGCACTGCATTGGAACATCATCCGAGACAACAATCTTAAAGGTTCAACGGAGGGCTTGAACTCACAGCTTTCTGATTTAAGAGGCGAGAGTGCTACCAACTGAGCCAGCTGACAATTATAACCGCAATAACATACTAAATACAGGATTTCATTTTGGTGCACTGTACACCATTTCACCCAAGGCATTACCTTTCACATTCTGTAATAAATATACCCCCCCAGCCTTGATTAAATGTAAGTTTAAAATACAGTACAACTCCCTGGCCATGCTGATCCACGCAGATGTTTTGTGTCAATACAGGAATTGGAAAATTTTAAAACAATACTTATTTTTTTTAAAACACACTGGGGTCGGGGAAATATCCGTCGCTGTTCACTTTCAATACTTTCGACTTTGCAGGATCATTCTATGTCTTTGAAGAGTTCAAAGCATGCAAAGCTGTACACATCACACTTATTCAACCGCAGGAAGAAAAACACACTCGCTGATTTTCTCTAAAAAAAACCCCACTCTCATCAGGTCTGTGAACATATCAGATAGAGTAACTGTTTGAAATGTCGACTGGTTGTGGGACGTCGCTGTGCGCAATTGGCTGCCGCGTTCGCCCACAAATATACAGTCAACGCACTTTACAGTGTGTTCTGTGAGGCGCTTTGGGACGTCCTCCCGACGCGAAAAGCGCTCTATCAAATGCAAGGATTATTATTATTTAACAATAATTGCTCATCACCTTCCCTTCCCTCCCCACCCCACCCACGGGATGCCCCCTTTAGATGGGTCTCTTTGACCTGAGCCATTGATGTTACATATCTCCCCACCCCCCACCACCACTTTTTCTCCCCTGTGACACGTCCGTAGCGCCGTTTAACCTTAAAAGAAGAGGACAAGGGTGTGAAACGAGAGAGAGAGAGAGAGCGAGCGAGAGAGTCCTTACCCTCTTTATAATTCAGTGTGGTTCCTGGATAGTGGGTTTGAAAGAGGGAGGGAGAGGGGGGGGTTTCCCCCCCACCCGCAAACACCCCACCCACCCACCCACCCACACAGAGACTTGGGGAGTGATGACTGGATTTAAAGGGGCCCGGCTCCACACTGGCTGCTGTTTTTTTTTCCCACACAACACCCCCTCCCCACCACCACCACCACCAACCCTCCCCACCTGGTTTTGTGGGACACGTTGAACAGGAACAAGTTCCGGGTCATGTCGCGATGGGGATTGGAGAGAGAGAGAGAGAGAGGGGGGGGGGGAGAGAGAGAGAGAGCGATGGGGGGGAGAGAGAGAGAGCGATGGGGGGGAGAGAGAGCGATGGGGGGGAGAGAGAGCGATGGGGGGAGAGAGAGAGAGAGCGATGGGGGGGAGAGAGAGATGGGGGGGAGAGAGAGAGATGGGGGGGAGAGAGAGATGGGGGGGAGAGAGAGAGATGGGGGGGAGAGAGAGAGATGGGGGGGGAGAGAGAGATGGGGAGAGAGAGAGATGGAGGGGAGAGAGAGAGATGGGGGGGAGAGAGAGAGGGATGTGTGTCTTGTGTCGTGAAGTGAGCGCCCACCGGCCGCCGGCGGAACCGAGGGATGAGCGGTTTCCATGGAAACCGGGCAGGCCCCGACCCACTTGTCCCAACCCGAATGGCTGGAAAGCCCGAGGTCTGGGGGGGGAGGGGAAAGGGGGGGAGAGAGGAGAGTGTGAGGGGGAGAGAAAGAAAAGAAAGGGGATGAAAGGCCGTCTCGCCCGGGCCGGAGGGGAGGGAGAGGGGGAGAGGGAGGGTCGCGTTCACAGAGCCCGTGACGGGAGCCCCTCTGCTCGGTTGGGCTGTTCACCGGGACCGGGCCTGGACGCTCCCCACCACCCCAACGCCCGTGGGGTCGGGATGAGGCCTCGTTGCTCTCGAGCGCGATGGGAGGCCTGAGGGTGGGTGGGTGGGGGGGGGGGTTACCCCGGCCTGGCTCAGCCGAGACTTCGGAACCGCCCCGCGTTTCCCCCCCTCACCCCACCCCCCCCACACACAAACACCCCCCCCCCTCTCACCCCATCCACCCCCCCCGCCCACACACACACACCCCAACCCCTCACCCCTCCCCTCACACCCCCCCCGCGAGCGCGGAAGTGTGCGGCGATGGTACAATCCGATGCCCGGAGCCGCTCGCGGTTCACGCGACCCAACCGGAAGTTGGGTTTGTTTGGCGTCGCTTAGCGACCGACCAACCGTCTGCCCTCCTCATCCCCATCACCTCCTCCTCCTCCCCACTCCCACTCCCTCCCAGAACATGGACGACCCGGACAGGTAACTTAACTTGTAACTGCCCACCGTCGTCCTGCGCGGCGCCGTGGTCCGCGTCGCGTGTTTGTTCGACATCTGAGAGATGGATAGAGAGAGAGACAGAGATAGAAAAAGAGAAAGAAAGAGAGAGAGAGAGAGAGGGATTGAGAGAATAATAATAATAATAATAATAATAATCCTTTACATTTGATATAGCGCTTTTCACGTCGGGAGGACGTCCCAAAGCGCTTCACAGAACACACTGTAAAGTGAATTGACTGTATATTTGTGGGCGAAAGGGGGGAATCGAGTAGAGATAAGAGAGAGAGATGATTGATGGAGAGAGAGAGAGAGATAGATAGAGGAGGAGAGAGAGAGAGATAGGTAGGTAGGTAGGTAGATAGATAGATAGATAGATAGATAGATAGATAGATAGATAGATAGATAGATAGATAGATAGATAGAGAGACGTTTCAGGATACAGCGAGAAGTGCGATTGACTGCGTATTTTGTGGGCAAAACCCGTCAGACCAGTCTGTGCACAACGACCACGGCCGTGAAACTGCGCCCCGAGACGCCGCCCGCTGTGTGAGGGCGCGTTGCCTAAACGCAAGCCGCCGTCGCGTTTATGTAAAGCCGCTTCGCGCCGGACCGGACGTTCTCAAGGCGGTGGACAATCGAGGGTTTCTTGCCCCCACCCCCACCTCCAAGCTGGGGGTTGGGATCACCAATGCCCCCACGAACAGCCATGGAGTGAATGACCGTTTTTTATTTGGAAGATTTATGGTCTCGGACACTGGGAGAAACTCCCTTCTCTTATCAAATTGTGCCATGCGATCCTTAACATCCACCTGAACACGCAGACAGGACCTCGGTTTAATGTCTCATTCAAAGGATGGAACCTCCCGACACTGCACATATAAAATGACTAATGTACTATTGGTCAAATTGTTATTATTTACTATTAAATTGGTGATCCACTGCCTGTGATTGCCTCTTACTGTCTTGTTTTCCTGTTAGTGTTGGAACCCCAAAACAAGATCAAGATGCATCAGAAACTCAAGAGGTAAATATTACGTCGAGATTTCACAGTTAGACTGTACAATCAGGGAGTGGTGCTGAGCAGAGGACAAATAATAATCCCTCCAAAACAAAACAATAATAAGTTGGTCATTTTCAATCCACGACTGTTTGTGGGACATTGCTGTGCGCAATTGGCTGCCGCGTTCGCCCACAAATATACAGTCAATTCACTTTACAGTGTGTTCTGTGAAGCGCTTTGGGACGTCCTCCCGACGTGAAAAGCGTTATATCAAATGCAAGGATTATTATTATTATTATTTTGCCCACAAATATACGGTCAATTCACTTTACAGCGTATTCCGTGAAGCGCTTTGAGACGTCTAGAAGACGCGAAAAGTGCTATTTCAAATGCAAGGATTATTATTATTTCAGTTTAATTGGACATGCAATTAACAACACGAGTCCTCAAGAGCCAGAAGTTCATGGTTTATATCATCCTATAGTGGAGCCAGTCTTGATCAGTATAGTATTGATCTATCTCAGAAAGATCTGAGTTTGAGTGACACATTAGTTGCAGAAAAGGACTTCAATAATCCTAGGGAGTATCAAGTTAAAGAGTAATGTGACATGGCATCCGTAACCCATCACATATTGAATTCCTAATTTCATTTATGCTGCATTTGGGGGCAGCAGCAGAGACCAAACACTTCTTCGCAAGGATCAGAACTCAAAAAGATATATTTTTAGGTTCCTACAAAGCACTGAGAGAAGTCCAAGAAGGGGGGAATGAGAGAAACATAGATAGAAAAAGAGAGACTCTTCCCATTTAACATGAACATTTAGATTATCAGAAGACCTGTTACATAAATATTTGTTTTATTTTCAGGAGAACCCTGGGAGTATGGATAAGTAAGGGGATGGTGATCTTGCTGCAGACCTTTTTGTTTATTTAATAAGACGTCTTGAATATGTGATAAGCTACTATATCAAATGCAAGGATTATTATTATTATTTGATAACTGCCATTCTGTTCGTGTGATGCAGGAGTGGAACGAGGAAGATGAGGATGAAGATGAGGTACAAATACAAACCCTCCTTGGAGCAGATGCAGCAGAAGACCTTTTGGAGGAAGATGTTATGGTGGATTATTTTAATATACCTCTATATTTATTTATTTTTGTTGGCATTTCTAATACTCAATATTGAAAAAAAGTACTTTGAATTGAGTGACAATTTGTAAACTGTTTTTACATTCAATAAATTTCCCCCAAATTTGAACATTCAATAAATCCCCCCCAATATTATTTTCAAAATTGTTCCCATTAAGGTCTAGTTTTTATTCATTTCTTAAAAAAAATCTTTTCTACTAAATCTTTATAAATCTTTACAACTGTTTTTAGCAATCAATTTCACATTCGACTCTAACGTCTCCAAACATTTAAAAACACCTTTGCTATCTTTATGAATCTGATAACACTGACAAACATGGTAAATATTCATAGTCCACTATCATTTTTAAGTATTTTTAGTTAGGGTTGGAATTTTGTTTTATTATGTCTTTTTACATTCAAGTTAAAGCCAGAAGGTAAAAAATGTTCTGCGTCCTAGTTATCTGATTTTTAGAATATTTATTCTTTTTCTCTTCCTCATAACTTAGTCCTCCTCTCTCTTGAAGAACTCACCTAGTTACAATACCCTAATACCTGTCATGGTGTTCCCTTACTACCTATTTCTGCTTCAAGCGAGAGACTTGAGTTACCTTCAAGTCCCCAAATTTCTGTCACTCATGAAAAAATGTGGATATGTCATTTGTTATTTTTTCCTCTTTGCTATCTCCTGTTCTTGCACTTTCTTTCTTCCTCTGCTGAATTTTGTTACTTGACTCTTTCTCAATTGTTTTCTTACTGTGGTTTCCTTATTGCTCACTCTCAAGTCCATGGAGCCTGTCTCTCCCTGTTCTCCTCTTTGTGCTGGACATAAACCTCCTGCCCCTCCCTCCAAATCAAATTTTCACTGTCACAGCACCCAACTAGGTTTTTGATCATTGGTTGTATTTTTGTACAATGCAGGATGAAGACATGGGGAGGATTGTTTCAGCATCCCGTAAGCCACCAGAGCAGGCTGCCGTCGTTCCAGAGCAGGCTGCTGTCGTTCCAGAGCAGGCTGCCGTCGTTCCAGAGCAGGCTGCCGTCCTTCCAGAGCAGGCTGCCGTCGTTCCAGAGCAGGCTGCCGTCGTTCCAGAGCAGGCTGCCGTCGTTCCAGAGCAGGCTGCCGTCGTTCCAGAGCAGGCTGCCGTCGTTCCAGAGCAGGCTGCCGTCGTTCCAGAGCAGGCTGCCGTCATTCCAGAGCAGGCTGCCGTCATTCCAGAGCAGGCTGCCGTCATTCCAGAGCAGGCTGTCGTCATTCCAGAGCAGGCTGTCATCGTTCCAGAGCAGGCTGCTGGCGTTCCAGAGCAGGCTGCTGGCGTTCCAGAGCCAGTCCCACTCATTCCAGAGCAAGTTCTCAAAAAGGTGAATTACCTTCAGTGTTTATATTGTGCAGATTAATTTCTGGTCATTTTTGTTTTGGGGACCTGCTAAAAGCTGCTTTCAATAAAATAATGAACTGTCATTCGGTTCAATTGGAACATAATGGCCTAGTCTATGCTTATAAGTGTCTTTGCTTTCTATTGAAAGGAACTTTAATCAAATAATTCAACAACATTTGAACTTTATTTTCATTTTAGTCCCAAACTCTTTTTATAATCTCAAAGAAGTTGTGTATATAAATGCACAGGAGATCGAGGACAATCACACAGTGTTATTGTACCTAAGCATTGTGTCACCCGGTGGTAACACATTTGTTCATTCTGCAATTGGCCATCCTGTTATTCTCAGTTGTCACCATCCAATGGTTGGATCCACTGAGCAAAAGAGTGGCACTTCCCAAGAGGGAGAATGGACAACAATAATATTAATAATAATAATAACAATATAACGTTTTATTGCGTCTTGGAGATGTCTTTTTTAAAAAAAGGAAACGTTTAAATTGTTCCGTAAATATTTTATAATATGTTAAATGTTCAATCAATGCAGGAGGAAATTACGGAAGCGGACAGAGAACAAGTCGTTCAGCCTACTCCTGAATCCCCCGTATTGCCAGAGCCAGAAACAGTTGTACAAACTCCAGAGGTATTTTTGCCCCCCAACATTTTAATGTTTTGTAGATTGTTCTCTAGTCATATTCAATATTTTTTTTAAAAAAGTGAATGTTCAGTAGGTAGACTGCTCAGTGTGATTCTAAGCCAAACAGATAAAGGTCTCAGGTTTAACCTCTCATCTGCGTTTCGTAGCTGATCACAGCAGCGCTAGCTGGTATCACCATTACAGTGCTACAATTGGTTTCAGCTCTCCTTCAATAGACGTGGATCCTGATCACTGTCCAGTGATCCCATGCAGGAAGATGCGCATATACAAACATTGGATGAGGGCAAGGTCAGGCTTGCTGTGACGCGCTGTAGCCAAGTAACTTGTTAACACTTACTGGCACAATGAAAAGCCAGTTGGTTGAAGAATCAGAGCTGATGGCACTTATATAACTGAACTGCCTCAACTTCAGCATAAAGGCGAACTTTATAAAACCTACTGTACAAAACTATTTTTCAGATAATGGCCTCAATTTTAAACGTAATATTCCAGGCTGTCACAATATGACCAATAGTCTGAAGGGATTCACAATAGCTATACATTGATTTGAGGCACATTGTCATTTACGGCTGGCAAATCAAAACATAGAATGGCAGGGTTGTCTCTGCAATTCCCCGCTGTGTGGCTTCTCACATGTTCTCCTGCCAACATGGGAAGACATTGAATGGAAGTTAGATGCATTCCTACAGGGAAAATGTAAGAGCAGAAATAAAAGAAGCCAGTCTTGACTGCTGATCAAGTATTTCCCAAGTGGTTGCTATGGAATCCCATTGAAGCAGGTTCCTGTCAGCAGTTTAACAGCATATAGTATGTGCAGTCAGAAGGGTAGGAATGAAATAAATAGCAGTTGGGGGGGTGGAAACTATTTTTCATAGAAATGCCACAATTGCCAAAGTCTTGAATAGATACAGAATAAACTACCTGCATAAATAAATACTAATGATATAATTCTTGGGATGAAGCTGACTTTATAATGCTATAACGTTAATAATAATAATTCTTGCATTTGATATAGCGCCTTATCATGTCTTCGAGGCGTCTCAAGGCACTTCACAGAATATACTATAAAGTGTGGTAACTTAACTGCTTGTTGTAGATGGCACCGACGGCTGCAGCAGAGGAGCTGTTTGTTGATAGTGAACGGACTGAAAGGAAAAGTAGCAGGTTCGAAAGTCCAACAAGCAGAGTTGAAGGTATTACACAAACATCAGTTTTCTCAGAAGAGGACAAAGACCCAGGTACATTCCTCAAAATTAACACTTATCACATTTGACTCCCAGACTAGTTTTGGGAACTGGATCTTTGTTTATTTTCAGCCGGGTGTCTCACATATGTGAAAATTCATCACCATGCACTACACCACCTACACATGGAATTTTTCCTGTGCCTGGAATGGTGCGCACTCTCTCCCATAGGCGGGAGAGCCTTCAGCCACTCTGCCCCCAACCTCTGGAATTCCATCCCCCAATCACTCTGCCTTGCCCCCTCCTTAGCCTCCTTCAAGTCCCGCCTCAAAACCCTCTTCGACCATGCCATCGGTCACCCCCCTTCCCCTCGCCTCCCTTCTCCCTCCCTAACCCAGCTCGGGTCTGAAATGCTGCACACTGTCCTGCGCCTTGGGATGTCCTCCCGACTTGAAAGGCGCTATACAAATGTAATCTTGTTGTTGTTGCCTACCTAATTCTTCAATGGATTAGGCACGGATTGGTGAGATCCCCAGATACGGGGATACTGCTGGAATCTAACTAGCTAAAATTCCACAGCTTGCCTTTAAAAGGATTGTCTGGCAAGCTTCCCACTGCTTGACCATATTGGAGCATCCTACCCGATGGGCCTTTGCTTGTAGAGTTAACAAGAGATGAGTGGGAAGAATCACCCTTAACTGCCTTTTTCATTTAAAAAAAAGTACTTAATTAAATGATGCTAATCTGAATGTTCTATTGTTTTCTGTCTTTTGGGAAATAGAATCAGTTTGCCTACCTTTGGAGGGATCGGTATGCTCAATTTCTCCAATTCCCAGCATCCTAGTCGATTATGACTCAGACAACGAGGAAGAGAAGGAAGAAGATGAATCTGAGGAACTAGATGAAGAATTCGAAGATATAGATGAAGAGCAGGCAGAATTGGTTGTGCTGGATCCGGATCACGTAAGACATGTTTTTAATTTATAATATAAATACAGTATAATTGATAATATAAATGTAATATAAGTCATTTGATCAAAATCCAAGCTTCAATGCAATTATTTTCAAAAGTAATGCATTTTTTTCGCTGATGGCTTTAAAAGTCAATCCATAATCAACCAGGATCAAGGCAATTATAACATTCAGAATTACAAAGTGCATCGTGAGTTGCAGAAAGTTTTTGTTGCCTCATGAGGAATATGTTACTGAGGTTATTATAAGAATTGGGATGTTTAATTCAACATGTAGAATGTGGAATGCACTTTTTGCTACATGTGAGGAATCGTTTATCGTAAATGCACAATTAAAGATTTGTACTTTTACTGAAAGACACATAATAGTTTTTAATGATAGCTATGTAAGAAAAATTATATGGCAGGAACAAGGTAGTTCTAACAGTGCTGCAAAGCGAAGTATGAAAAGTTTACAAGTTACTTATTTTCATTCTGACATTAAATTAATGCTCTGAAATCACTTTCTGGTGTTCGTATATTCAGCCAAATTTCTGTGGAGTGGAGTTTATTGTGCCATTGATAGCTTTCAATGTGGGTACCAATACTTACATGATGGTATTCACACAGAAAGAGTATGATTTAATGGAAAGTTTATCAAGAAATAAACTTTTAATTAATTTTCAGGAAGTTCCTTGACTATTATATTATCATAATTGAATCATGGATTAAAACATCATCTTTCTCTATTTTGTAATGCAGCCTCTAATGAAGCGCTTCCAGACAGCTCTGAAGACGCACCTTTTAAAGCAAGCGGACAAATTAACCTTGGAGGTCAGAGAGTTGGTAAGTGGAGCTAACTGTAATCACATGATTTTAAACTTGGCCGTCAACAGCAACTTATAATGCACAATTAGTCACCTTACACATCGTTATATTGCAAACTTACCCAGCAGTAAAAAAAAATTGGTTTTAATCACTGTGATGCCTCCTTTGCATACAGTTCTTAATGGTTTTAAGTTTCAGAGTAAAGACTCAGCACTCTCTTAGAGAGAGAGAAAGAGAGGAAATACCATTAGCATGCCAATGATGAAGCAACAAATCATGAATTCAATATTATTTAAGTGTTTTTATCATACTGTATTTAAGACTGGGGCCATTTCACTGGAGGAAATGATGCAGTTTTTTTCACTGTGCACCCTTGTCAGGATTTTTTGTCTTTTAGAATAGCATGGTATAATTACAATAATAATATGACACCACATTGATTACATACCTGCATGACTAGTGCGAGATGTTGTCATATCACTCATTCTAGTATGACTTATTCCTTCTTTGCTTAATTATATTCAACCATTTGAGGCGGATGGTTCATGGCTCTACTGTTCTGCCTCTGTTTGCAGGACTGGGATATGAAAAAGCAAACCACTGAGCGTGAGGACACTGGAGTGATCCTCTATGGGGTGCAGCAAAATCTTGCCCAAAGGCAAATGGAACTTGAAAAAAATCACAACCGTTTTTCACAAATTTCCACAAAACGTCGTCAGACAGAGGAATATTTGGGAAATGTGAGAAAACTGTATCAGCAGCGACAGGCCAAAATGAATTCTGAGCGTCTGAAAGGTGAGACTGAATGAAGGTTTCCTTAAGCTTTTCAAATCATCCTGTTGAAGTGGACAACGTATTAGTGGACGAAGTGTCCAACTGAGGTTACAGTATTAATGTGTTGGATTATATGGAACTGCAAATTAGAACTCAAACTTCAACTGTCTGAGAGTGTTATCAAATGCAACATAAATGACATAGACTATTTGTTCATAATAGCAGTTATGGATAGCATAATAGCATTATAATTTTTTATTACGTATTTGTGAAGAATTGTGAATAGCTTTTTCCAAGGAGCAGCTTTGAAATGCTGCTGTGCCATTCCAAACTGATGTATTCGCTTACAGTGTTAACCTTTTCACTATATTTTTACCTGTGTGTCGCACTAGACTGGGGTGAAGATGAATGCTTGAACATAGAAATAGTGACGACAGCAAGGATAGAACAGAAGCAAAGCTAGTGCTCGTCATCCGAATTTAGGGATAAATTTGTTAATTGCGATATTACTCGCTGTTAACCATGTGATTCCCTCTCAGTGTCACAGCTACAAACAGACGTTGAAAATCTTGCCATGCGATTGTACTATATGGAAAGCTTAAAGCAGGATGTACAATCTGACATTATGGTGATGAAGCGTGCAGCAGAAAAGTTAGATTCTGAAAAAGCACAGGCAGCGAAACTCAAACAGAAACAGGTAGGGCACATCAAGAATGTACCTTAATTCTTTAATATAGTCTGTGACTTATGTTTGTTTCAAATGCATGAGGTCTTTGTTGTTGAACTCTATTTTATTATACCGCTAAACCACTATCTTCTATTGTACTGCAGGATATGTTTGTAGACCGTTTGGTGTCGCAAATGGACAGACTTCGGGAGCAGATTGCATTGTACGAAGCCCAGTGCACGGCACAGAGAGAAGAAACGAAAGCAGCACGAGGCACTGTGGGAGAGGTGAGCTGCTGGACTACAGGGCGAGCAGGCTACACACTAATATTTTATCACGTCTGCAAATCACAGCTGTATATTAAAATAGAAATCAACAATCAGATACTGTGGGATTGAGGGAATTTAGAAATTTAGAAACTGTCGGGATTTAGAGTAGTAATCCAGCTTTACATGGTAAGGAATCCTGTCCCTCATTGCTTTTAATTAGACTTGATTTTTTTTCATTCTGTGCACGTGTATTAAATATGATCTGTGCAAATTTATCAAGTTAGGCTAAATATTTAGTGACCAAGGTGATTTCTACAAAGCACTTTCAAACTCACTCATCAGTTTGTTTTATTTTTATTTAATTGCAGTTTTCTTTGATGTTATTAATCCTCTCAATTATTTCTTAGGCCGTCATGGAGATAGAAGCAATCGATCTGGAAAAGAAACAACTACTGCATCATTGGAGGAGCAGCCTGATGGGGATGCAACAGCGAGATGAGACCTATTCTGCAATGCAGGATGCTGCCAGGTAGATCATAATCTAATCAAAAGAAAATTTTGCTTCAGAGAAAGTATAAAAATATAAAGTGTTAGGATCCAGGAAAATGGACTATCAGGCTCCCTTTGTAACCTATTCTCGTTCTGATATGGCAACTTCTCATTCTTCTGGTGTACTGTACTCTAACTACCTTATTTGCTGACTTTATGCTTACTCCACTTTGTGCTATAGTGAGTCAAAACATCAATCAGAAACACTAAGGACTGAAATTGAGGCATATAAGAATTTCATCACCAAGGAGGAGGAGAAGAACGAACTTTTAACAGTTGTTCTGAACAGACTAGTTAATGATATAAACATGACCAAGAAACTGATGGCCCAGAATATGGCCAAGCAGGAGGGGATAAAGAATGAATATACTACTTACACTCGAACACTACAGGAGACCGAACGCTTGATTAATAAAGCTACAATGGTAAGATTATTGCCACGATGAATAGGTATCTCTGAAAATGGATAAACAGAGTGCGTCCTTCCAAGGAGAGAGTGCACATTTCATTCCCGACATAGGGAAATTTCCATTTGTGGTTGGCATCCGTATGTTTGGTTTGGGTATTCTGAAACAGGTTTCTGTATATGTCATAGATACACAGCTGACTGACCAAAACAAAAACTATGATTATTATTAACAGCTAATCTGGACTAAATGGAAACCAAACTCCAGCTATCCCTTCAAATATTTTGGATTTAGACAAATTTAGACAAGTCCTAGCTGGATTCTCCACCCTCAGTTTCTAAATTAATTGGTTAGGGATTCAAAGATCTGAGTATTATATGGCAGCAATTTGGTAAATTAGGTTATATTACTCTATTATATAGTTAAACCAATGATAATAATAATTCTTGCATTTGAAATCGTGCCTTATCTTGTCTTCTAGAAAGGCACTCTATCAAATGTAAGGATTATTAGTTTTTTATTATTATTATTGGGGAAAGAGTTAAATGGAAACATTACTTTCTATAGATAGGTTCCAAATTGTTTTTTTATTTGTTGTTGTTCAAAATAATTGCTCTGCATGTTCTATGTTGAATTGAAGTCTTCTTATACTTTGTATTCAGGAACGGTCCTTGGAACAAGGTGAACTCAATATGTTGCGCGTACAGATAGAGAGGCAACACCGATCAAATAATGAACTGGAGGACAACATTATGGAAAAATTACAAAATCAGATGATCTTGAGCCAGGCAACAAATCACTTCAAACGCCTGTTTGATGCCGTCCGAATTCAGAAACGACAGCTGGTATGGAAAGATGTGCACAACAGTTACCCTTGCTAAACAGTTACGCAGTGCCTTGGGACGTCCTTCCAACCTGAAAGGCGCTATACAAATGTAATTTTGTATTGTATTGCTAACACTGCTCTGAATACAGTATTGGTATTCCAATATGAAGGTGGGAGGAACATAATCTGGTGTGATAGGATACTCTTTCCCCCCACCCCCAAAAGGCTGTGGATGCTGTATTCATTCGCATCTTTAAGACTCAGGTGGATAGATATTTGTTAGGCCAAGATATTAAGGGATACGGGGCAAGGGCGGGTAATTGGACTTGAGATACAGATCAGCTATGATCTTATAGAATGGTGGAACAAGCTTGAGGGGCTGAATGGCCTACTCATTCACTGTTTCTAGAACCCCACCACCTTCTTAAATGATGTTTTATGTGTTGTTATCAATCATATTTTGTTCCCTGGATTAATACACCGAACAACAAGATTACATTTGTATAGCACCTTTCACGTCGGGAGGACACCCCAAGGCGCTGGACAGTGTACAGCATTTCAGACCCGAGCTGGGGTCGGGGGGAGAGGGGAGGGAAGGGAGGTGGCCGTTGGCATGGTTGAAGAGGAGGGTCTTGAGGCGGGACTTGAAGAGGCTAAGGAGGGGGCTAAGCAGAGTGATTGGGGATGGAATACCAGAGGTTGGGGGCAGAGTGACTGAAGGCTCTCTGAAGGCGGGTGGGTCGGGGGACCTAACTCACTGTAATACATGTATTTTTGCTTATACTTAGAATTGTGTCTTGTTACTTTTTTAATTATGATTGTAAATGTGCAAATGAATTTGATAAGAGTGGAATGTATGAAAAACATAATGAGGCAAAACATCTCAATGCTATCATCTTCCCATTGACTCAAACAAGACTAAAAAGTTGAAACATAATTTTTTAATAAGAGCTGTTAATACTGCAACATATTAGCAGGTTTCTCATAGTTATTTGTATCAATCAGTAGGACCTCTACCAAATTTCTTTCGTCTTATCTGCAGGTAGTTGATTATGCAAAAATGGAAAATGATTATGCTCAAACAACTCTGGAAATTAACTACGTCAAATCGCGACTGAGTATGCTGCAGGTGACTCTGGACAAACAAGATAAGGAGTTGGCTGAGAGAAACCATGTGATTCAATGCAGTGAGAAAGAGATTACCAAACGAATCCTGATTGTTCAAAACAAGCAGTCGGTCCTCAACATCTTCAATAAGAAGATTGCCCAGTTATTGGCAGAAAGAGGAGTAAGTCTCTCGACCATCTAAAGACCTTCCTCTTCGAGCGTGCCCTTGGCCATTCTCCCATCCCCACCCCTCCTGCCCTCTACCCCTCCTGACCCCAACTCTCAGCTTGGGTCCAAAAAACCCTGACTGTCCAGCGCCCTGGGACGTCTTTCCGACTTGAAGGGCGCTATACAAGTGTAATTTGTTGTATTTCTAATTCAACAGTGGTATCATTTGTTAACTTCTGTGATTTTAAAGAGACAAAGAAAGTACTTTTTTAAAAAAATAAGTCTTTCCATAAAGCAGATGTACCGTTTTTTTCTCCAAAATGTTTCAGATTAATTTATCTTGTCATAATGTATGCAAGCATGTTTGTACATTAAACATGTTGGATGGATAGATATTTGTTAGGTAAGGGTATCAAGGGATTATGGGGCAAGGGCGGGTAATTGGAGTTGAGTTACAAATCAGCTATGATCTTGTGGAAAGGCGGAACAGGCTCGAGGGGCTGAATGGCCTACTTATGTTCCTATAAGTATCAAAAACGGTACAGGACAATCCTATTCAGAAGATAACATATAAGATCAGAAAACACAGACCTAGTTGCATTCAATTTGGAGATTTTGAAACATGCGTGGACGAATTTCTCACCTGAATTTGCAACAGACGGACCTGAAACATTAGTTTTGACAACATGTTTAGTTGCTGAACTCTTAACCTCAAATCTGCCATCGCACAAGTACAAATGTCAAAACTGAAAGTTTTTCACTTGTTCCCTTGTCATGTTTCACAGGTCATTAAAAATCTGGATGAAAGGTGAATAATGTCACAGTATTTTTTCAGGAAAGGTGTCAAAATTGCTATTGAATTAAGGACATTACCAACTGTATTTTAGAAATGTACTTCCTACTGTTCTATCACATTGGAGTTAAATGTATTTTTTTCCCCATATGACACCCTTACTGGATAACATAATTAAACATCCTAAATTGCTTTAAATATCAAAGTTATTCACTTGGACTGTTGATCACCACTCAGAGGATCTTTTTAATTGTGCTTGTTACAACACGTTTATCGTTTGTGGACACTAACAAACCACAGTATTGTATGTAAATTCAGCTTATTTTCATCCAATATGATTCGGAGACAGAATCATTTTAAATTAGTAGACTAGGGAGGAGTGAACATTGAACTCACAGAATGTTGCTCTTTGTCCACAGGGAGAAGAAATTAGCCCCTTGGAGCTTGAGATCAGAACCTTGTCAAAGCAGATTGATGAACACAATGAAGAAATTATATTGCTGCAGCAGTATTGGCTCCGGCAGCAGAACGAGCTGATCAAACTGGCTCGGGAGAGGGAGGAGCAGACGGTTGCTGTTGAATTGCTGAAGAAACAGTCCACTATCCTGCAGCAGAAAAAAATCCGCACAGAAAGTAAGTCTGTCAGAATACACAGGCATCAATCTTCATTTAATGGCACGTTCCCCCAAATTATCTTTCTATTTACCCTATTTAGAAACGCTTAATTTATAATTTAAAAATGCTAAGTGTCAGTTCAGCTCAGTTGGTAGTAATCCTGTCTCTTGTGTCAGAAGGTTGTGGGTTCAATACATGCACCAGAACTTCCACAGGGAGGAGAGGATAATTAACCGGTGAATGAGCCAAACCAAGCTGCTTTTAGATATATCCTTATGGCTAGCTGGGGACGAGCATTGACAGACTGGGGAGCAGGTGATTGCACTCTTGACTAGTATGGAATTGTACATGATCTGAAGTGACCTGAATAGAGGTTTAGCAAGTACAATTTAAGAGATTTTGTTTCTTAAATAGCATTTGTTTTAGTAAGAAGTTACTACATATAATAACAAGTGGAATTTCAAAAGTTTTACCTTTGGATTTTACATTGACGTAAATAAAGGAAACTTTGTGGAGATTATTAAAGGTTAGAATGAAGCTTTATTGATTGACTTTTTACACCGATTTTTGGATACGCAGATATTTGTGTCTTCCAACTTTTTTCTTCCCTCACCACCATGCCAATCTTCTTGGTTTGATGATTGTTTTCTACAACCAACCCTTTCACTACCTTGATTGTGACCTTCAACCACTGACCCCTGGGCTTCATGCTTGCCTTCTCCAGATGAGATACAGCAGGAAGAGAATGAAAAGAAAGACATTGAACACCACATGCGAAACTTGTCCAACGACATGCAGAAGCTCAACATGCTGTTGACCAAGAACAGTTCTATGAAGGAGTCACTTCAGCACACGAATATTCTCATGGAGAATGATTTTTTAAACAAGTTGAAGGTTAGTGAGAATCAAAATCTGTTGTGGAATAAAAGCAAACTGCTGTCAAAATGTGATTCCTTTCCATCACAAAATCTGCAAAATATTATTAGTGTGAAGAGCATATATGCAAAATCTCTAATTGCACTATTCTCCACATATTTCTGTGATCTTAAACCAAAACAAAATCAAATGCGCCTGATTTACCGGGCATAGTAGCTCAGCACACCCTTAATACAGTAGAGTTAGAAATGATGGTGAAAGGGTAAATTTTCAGACTTCAAAATTGCCATATCAATTGAGCAGTCACCACAAGACAAACAAACACGTGTTAGGTGCACCATTACATAAACTATAATATGTTTTACCTGCCTGTATGTATCACCCGTTACTTTTTAGGATGCTGAGCGGGAGTCCATTGTGACGCAGCAGAAGTTGGATCACTTGAAGGAGGATAAGGAACGCCTTCTTAACAGCCTTGTGGAAGCAGAGTGGGTATACATGGTGTATATAGCTCAGACCCTGCATCTGCTCTGAACAAAGAGCCGTAAGGGAAATCACATAATTTAATATTTTACTAGATATTCGCAGAGTGTATAGCTCATAGATTAGGGTTGATTAACTCACTTTGAAATATTTATTTCTAATGCCTTGTCCAACCACATGCACATTTTTTTGCCTCTCCGCCCCCTCCCCTCCCCAACGCTTTTGAAAAACCTGTCATCTTTTCACTTCCCTGTTTCCTGCAAATAAGACACAGAAGTATTTTGAATGGAAATCTTTACTTGTATTTTATGATTTTCCAATATAAATTAGTGTTTTCAAAAAAGACCTTTGTTGCCTGTTTCTCTTTCAAATGTTTGCGAGAAATCTCCTGAAAAAAAAATTCAAATCATGAGTTGATACAGACAAAATGGTCTTCGAAGGCTAAAATATGAAAATGTTTTATGGAAAACCAGCTGGAATGCATACATATGCATACACTTAACTGCACACGCTTTAAAGTTATGTTTTGGACTCCAAAGAATAGTTTATTAGTTGCACAAGGAGCAGAGCTCCACTTTCTTTGGATTCAAACAATAAACCTCCAGCACAATTCTAAAGGGTGACGGTGAGCCTTATTCGGAGAAAACTAAACCTGTATTAGTGAATTCAACATAATGACGTGTGACATGAAATAGCTGATTGTTTTCAATACCTCTTGTTGTACTTGCATTGTCTATTCACAGGCGTCAAATTATGCTGTGGGAGAGGAAGATACAGCTAGGTAAAGAGGCACGGTCGGCTGTTGACTCAAATATTGGGCAGAGTGAAGTCCGATCGATGAGAGCAGAGATACACAGGATGCAGGTGTGTTTACCTGCAAAACTCTGGTTTGGATATTCATAAGCAATTTGACGTGTTTCCATGTGTGTCAGACATCTGGATGACCCCAAAAAAATACGACAGTACTATGTTTTAAAATTTTGAGGTGTGTTTACTAAATTCAAGCCAGTTAATTGAGACTTGAGGTCCCGTTTTGTACATCCTCTGTTACAGATAATACTCAAACATATTTCAAATACTCTCACTAGCTAATCAAAGCCTCCAATTTGTGAAGCGCTTTGAGGCCTTTTTGACAATGTAAAAAGGCGCTATATCAAATGCAAGAATTATTATTATTGATCCTTAGGTGCGTCATACTCAACTGATGAAACAGCAGGAACGAATGATTCGTGAGATGGAAGCTATTGTCACTCGCAGAGACACCATTCTAACCCGGGGAGAAGCACAGGCCAAAATGGATAAGACAAAAATAACGAGGAATGATTATCACAACAAAATTCAGGAAGCGTGCAAGAAGATTGCGGCTGCACAAAAGGTGGGAAGCAGGGAAGATTAACATTCCTGAGAATCACTATTTTCTCTGCCTAGAGAAAATCGCTTGTATTTAGTTGGATTTGGTCAAGAAGTTTGAATGCTCCAATTTATAAACATCTCTACTTAACAGTCAGTCAGACAAATGAGTTTAGAGAAAAATGGCATCTAATAGATACTGAACAGTGCCCATGTGTATAAATTATCTACTTTATGTACTGTCTATAAAAAGGTCTGTGATCTGAGAAAGTAAAGAAACACTGTGAGTGAGTGTCTGCAGATTATCTCAGTTCAATTAAGGTTAAAACATAAAGGAATGATTTCATATTTATCTGTCGAATTACACTTTTTTTTCTTAGAACATAGAAGAAAGTGACAAAACTATTGAGGAGCTGAGGGAAAGACAAAGATTGATCTGTGGAGAAATGAGGGAAAAGCAATGCCAGATTCAAGAAAATCAGACAGTGACTCATATCATTAATGCAGATATAGACAATCTAGAAGAAAAGAAACGTACGGTAAGAATGGTTTAAACGGTAAAGGTGATACTCAGATTGGAAGACTAGACGTGGGGATAGGCATTTGAAGAATTTATTTCAAAATTATTTTAAACCAATGTTATATGATTTACACACAATAAAAGAAATGATAAATTAACACTAAGTTCATCATCGATTCATGACAAAATAACAGCTGCACGTTTTGAGTTTTGTTATGTGAGACTGAGGTGTATTCTGGGGTCAAGTTGGCTGCATGATGACATGCTTGAGAAACAGAGCGCAGAACTGGGACATCTCAATATTGGTGCGGATGTTTTGTATACAGTAGAATTTAGAAGATGCACTCTTTGTAGGACGCTGCTGTGCGCATTTGGCTGCTGCATTTAGCCCACAAAATACACAGTTCGTTCACTTTACTGTATATTCTATGAAGCGCTTTGAGACGTCTCGAGGACGTGATAAAGTAGTATATCAAATGCAAGGATTATTATTATGAAGAATACTGATTAAGAGCTGTGTTAGGCCTCATCTCTCGTAGAGCTGCACAATGAAGTGAATTACAGTCTGAGTCCACTTGCAAGTCATTTGCTCTGTTTATAAGACCTACGTAAAACCATATCCTTGAGTTTATTGTAGCCTTCATAGATTCGGGCATTTCAGCTTATTTTCATTAAATGTTGAAAGTATTTTCAGTTGGTGTCACTCAACCAATCTACTGATTTCACAACAATATTGCTGTTGCAGAGCAAAGGGTTGTTCTGCAATTAAATCAATGAAGCATTGAGGTCAATGAGTGAAGTCTCCAGTTCTGTTTGTTCTTCCTGGTTCATTCGCAAAACTGTTCCTTAAGCCTTAATCCAAATGGATCAGTATTGTTAAATAATCATTATTGCTATGTAACGAACACCCCTCGATCTTTAAAGCTTTTTTTCCCCCTCTTCAATTTTTTCCTCTCCTTTTATGCTTTTCCTTGAGTGCAGTTCCATGAGGCCAGTAGCTCATTTAAGCAGCTCTACCAATGATCATTATCTTCCCCCTAATGCTCCTGAGATTAGGATTTCTCTTGTGCGAAGAATCGTAAGCAGCACTCAGCATCTTACGACCTTGAGCCACTGTATGCCCCCAGCAGGCTAGAGAACATACAGCAAATGGTTACTCATAAAGAAAAGAAGTTAAATGCAAATGCACAATATTTTCAAGTGATGATTCTTTTTCTCATGTCTGCTGTTCAGAATTTCTGCCAGATTGTGACATTGCAGACCCGAGCCAAACACCTTCAGGCAGTGAAAGAAGGGAAGTACAAACCACAGTGGAAGACTGAGGAGTCGCTGAAGAATGAAATGCAGAAGCAAGAGAATCAAATGCACGCATTCAGTAGCACCATTGACTTCCTCCTCCAACAACGTCCTCATTACCAACCAGCCCTTCGCAAAGTCACGCTGGCAATAGCCTCGTGGAAAGCAGCAGCAAAAGAAAAACTATAAACATGTAGAAGAATGGTCAGTGAGAACTAGTGTCATCAGAAAAAAAAGTACCCACAAGGGAGAGAGAGCAGTTGAATCTCAGTTAATCTGATTGGACATCACATCCCATAATATTCTAAGACGACAGAGACTTGACTACGAAACGTCTCCAGAGAAATTATTTTAAAAGGCTTTTCTTTTGATCTTACTAATGTATGCTGATTGGTTTGAAATGATCTACACTAATAAAAATAGATTTGTTGATTTAATTCTGTGATCAGGTCATTTCACGTGAACACAAAGACTGCTCCAAAACAAGTCTGCATTTTAATGTAAAGATTTTGCTCTCCTCACTTTGCCATCTCCCCTAACTAAAGCGGTTTCACTGCTTATTTTCCTTACATTGGGGGTATACTGTACCGCAGTTCCAAGGGCGTACTTCACTACATCACCCACGTGGCCATTAATCATGTGTGCCCAGTGAGACATTTACATGAATAGATATTGACAAATGTACCCAGTGGCTCGATTTCCAAACCTAATGCTTAATTGATGTAATTTTGAGATGTGATAATAGAAGGTGTTATTGAGTAAGCTGGTGAAAGTCATCAGCATTCTGAGATTTATAGACCAGTTCTACGTGTTTTGTTGGTCCGTAATAAAAGAGCGACTCAGTAGGATTCACGGTTATTTGTCTGATTTTTTGTTTCTTCTTCATTGAATCAGAGTAGAAAGTTAAAATATTTCCATCGGACTGGATGAAAAGAAAAACACAATTGCAACACACGTTTCAATATCACACATTAAAAATAGAAGGTGGAAACCGCAAAGATTTTATTTCAGGCACTTGTAACCTTTGCCACATCAAGAACCTGGGGATTATTTTTTTTTTGCAATTCTGAATAAAACAATATGATATTTATGTTTGTGGCATGTCACGAGCCAAATTAGCTCCCACCTTTTGCCCACATTATAACACTTATAATTTCTAATTTTGTTTTTGGAAAGGGCTTCGAGACTCCCACCCCCAATTTTTATGGTGAACTGATCAACGTAAGCGCCCGCAGATAATTGATACAAAATCCCCCCCACGAGTGTTTACGGGACAGTACGGTGCGCAATTGTTCTCCCCCAAAATGCAGTCAATTAACTTTACAGGACATCCCGTGAAGAGTTTGGAAAGAAATCTCAACGATATGATGAGGCGCTGTATCAAAAACGCAAGGATTATTATTACTATTATTATAAATACCCACAGCACAGCAGGATAAAATGCTGCAAAACAAAATCGACAGATGAATCGAAAATATTCTTTTTGATTTTTTTAGAAAAAAAACTAGATTTAGGATTGTCCTGTTGGACTGCCTTGCACTCACTCCCCTTTCGTGGAAGGGGTGGGGGTGGGGGGGGGGGGGTGGTGGTTTCGGAAGAATTGGCCCCGATTAAGGGTTTTAAGGCAATAAAGGACGATTTGTGTTGCAAGTTGTGTAACAGCAGAAGCCTGGCGCTGTTTAGTGCAGCTGGAAGAACAGTCACTGCCGGAAACCCCGCCTGGTGTTGCAATCAGGAAGCAATTGCAGAGAGAAAAGGATTTGGGGGACGTGTTAGAAGTTTCAGTCTCTGCGCCATTGGTTCAGGTAAAGTCTTGAGCTTTGCAATTCATTCGGAAAAATACCGTTCGCTTTTTTTCTCTCTGGGACTTAAATGGTCCCAGTGTGTGTCTAACCCCCTGACCTCTGGGTCTTTGTCATAAGGGAAAGCTTCTGTCTGCCAACAGTTCTGGCTGGGGCTGTGTATCTACCTGCCTTTAATATGCTGCTGTCAGCACTGAAGTTGGTTTCAGGGAAAAACCCTCAGGCCAATATATATATATATATACTAATCTTAGTTTTGCAGCTAATACAAATACACAGTAGATATATATACACACACACATAGAGAGAGAGAGAGAGAGAGAGAAACATGCAAATGCTAGAAATAAGTGTGTCAAATCAGTAGCTGAAAGAGCAAAATCATTTAATATTTTAGGGAGTGAATATTGCTTCCATTCAGTTAACAAGGCAGTTGATGCAGCAGTAAATATGCCCTGATTTATTAGGTACGCCCCTCCCCCCCACCACCACCCCTTTATAATTATAATAATCCTTGCACTCGATACAGTGCCTTATCACATTGTTCGGACATCTCAACGCGCCTCACAGAATAGAACTGTGTATTTTGTGGACGAAACGCGCCAGCCAATTGCACACAGCAGTGATCCCGCAAAGAGTCGGGGATTGAGTGACCAATAATTTAATAATAAAATTATCCAGGAGAGAGGACGATTGCTTGGAGTTTCGTCGGCCCTTGTGTCTTACAGGGCGATGTCAGGTGATGAAGATTTTGTTCCACTTTGGCCGAGGCAGCGAGTTAGTTAAATGGGATGGTCGTCTCTGTTTTGTCAAGGGAAACAGCCAAGTAGAGTTGAGAGCTCCTTTTACAAAGTGAAGATGTCATTGTGCCTCCTTGACAGCAGTATGCCCAAGTGTGATAGCAGAACGGTCCCAGTAATTTTGCCAGGATGACAATACTTTCTGAATTAATGAGCCTTTGCCTCGGTGCTTCTCTGTCTATCTCATGACATCTGAGCATTACAAATGTAATACAATAAGGCGTTTGACTCGTTGCTTATTAATAGCTAAGGCAAGTTAAGACCAGCTTTATACGTTCAGTGTCAATTCTCATCTATCTTTTCACAGCTCAGTGTCTTTGGCAAATGTTTATCAGAACCATTCTGTAACCAATGATTCATGTACTCACCTATCGCCCCTTATTGTGCCTTGTTAAGGTTAACATGTACGATAAGTCTGTACATTTGACTTGCCATAATTTACCCACATTAGATAACCAGAAAAAAACTGTATTTTCGCCCATAAAATACACAGTCAATACACTTTACATTATATATTCTGTGAAGCACTTTGAGACATCTCAATGACATCATAAGGCATTATATCAAATGCAAGGATTATTATTATTATTAGAAAACAGGCATAAGAATCTAATGACTGGTAATTGGTGCTGGCAAAAAATAATGAAAACAGAACATGTATATGAGAATGGCAAGTCTGCCTCAGACCTGCTTGTACACAAGTTATATGCCATCAGGCAGACTCACTGGCTGCCTCAAGTGATGTAGACTGAACACCCTAACTGAAATATTGGTGCACATCTACTTTGGCAGTGGACAGACTTGTGTATGCATTGCAAATCCTTGATTGTCCGGTGCCTTGCAACGTCCCCGGACGTAAAAAGCGCTATCCAAATGTAATTAATTGTTGTTGTTATTGTTGCTTGGAACACCTAGGTGAAGGTGAACTTTTCATTGTAAAATGCTGCAAGTGTACAGAATAAATGAAAAACATTAAGGCATTAGCTCACTCTAATTGTGATATGTCCTCTTGCACTATGAGAGAATTTCTGTTAGTTTTACTAATGCCCTGACACTGTTAACACAATTGTAGAGAGAAAAAAAATTATTAATAGGGCTTTGTTTTTCTTCTTTGTATTAGGAGCACATCTAACCCACAAGTGCCAGGCCATCTGTCTGTTTGGCATGTCTCCGTCACTTTGCAAAGCAGAAAAATGGGCCTTTACCTCAGGAAGAGAAGAAATAGGTCTCTCTGGACTTCCTTCTGTATCTGAACAGAGAACATGTCAATTTGGGGCTCTTAAATGTGTGACTGCCTTTCTGATTGTTGCTCTCATTTATGTGCTTGCTTACCATAACCGTTCAACGCTGAATTCCTTGGTGACTGTTAAATGTGTGAATGTGGACAAGACTGAACCACGCTTGTGGCAATATGTACATCACGGAATCGGATCAGTGAATACAGAGAGGCTTCCTGAGATGTCCTCAAATGGTAGTGCCTCTCAGTGCAGTTCTGACCCCTTCAATAGATTTGACTGTGCTTTTAACAAAGAGATGGATATGAAGAAATGCCTGTCTCGTGGCTGCTGCTATTTGCCAGTTGATCCTGCCAATGTGTCTGTCCCATGGTGTTTTTTCCCATCAAACTACCCAACTTACAAACTGGATTATCTCACTCCAACACCCAATGGTTACGCAGGCAAGTTGAGCCGTGCTGAAAAGACAATGTTCCCCAAAGATGTCATGACACTTCAGTTGAACATGATGTACGAGACAGAAGCCAGGCTCCATTTTACTGTAAGTAATTGTGACTGAAAACCACCTTACACTAATATTACTGAGGCCTTAGAGGAGGTTGCAGTGTGACAGTCATGGTATCAAGCACTGATAGTGTCACTGAATATAGCACTCAGGGAATTCCTTAGTTGTCAGGACGTCTGATGATTTATATGTAGTCAGCACTGACTGCATTCCATCCAGATTCAAACAGCTGACAGCCGTACAACGCTATTAAAAGGGAAATGTTCTCTTTTAAGAATTAACACGTGTTCAAGATTTCACAATATCTTCTCACTGTAACATGTGGGCAGAACTGTTTACTGTATATTTTTTGTGTTGACTCACAAAACCACACCAACTGTGACAATCGCTATTGCGCCTTTTGCAAGTACCACATTGTACATGGTGGAATATAGTGATGCGCTATTGGCTTGATACTGCGCTGTGCGCAAGTTAGCTGCCACATTCTCTTGCAAGATACACAGTCACTGCACTTTACAGTAAATCCTGTGGAGTGCCTTGAGACGTCCTCCAGACATGAAAGGAACTGTATCAAATTGCAAGGATTATTATTATCATTATATTGGATGCTCTCCTACCTTGTAAGCAAGTAATTTTGGGCTCTGTATTCTTACCAGTGGCTTTATGAAGTAAACCTTACCATCTGTAAATTATGCATGGATATCATAAATTTTTTAAACAATCTTTCCAGTAATACATTATAAATTTACATTCATATAGTGTCTTTCACTCCAGGAGGACGCCCCAAGGCACATATAGTTCTCATGTTTGTATCTTTCAGCTTAAGGATCCAGGAAACAAACGCTATGAGGTTCCCATTGCCGTTCCTAAAGTCACTGAAAGAGCTCCAACTCAGCTGTACACTGTTAAGTTTTCGTCCAAACCTTTTGGGATCATTATACAGAGGAAATCGAATGGCTGTGTACTGTAAGTACAATTAAGGTTAATAATTGTAAAGAAATCGGAACTTTATCTAACATATTAGCATCATTGGTTTGGTTGGATTTCACTGTTCGTCATCGGATAGTCTTCAGTCTTCAATCTTTTTCTTTTTTTCCTCCTTAGCTTGAATACAACAGTCGGGCCCCTGTTTTATGCTGACCAGTTTCTCCAGATTTCTACCTCCCTCGCATCAAAATACATCTCTGGTCTGGGAGAACACATGACAAACCTGATCCTCGATGTCAATTGGAGACGATTAACTCTTTGGAACCTTGATAAGGCCCCTGATGTGAGTTATTCAGTTTATTGCTTCTCTCCCACTAGATTGGTCATGTTTTTAACATGCATACTTCCTGCTCCTATAGCTGGATTCCTGTAGTGTCTATTCCTGTATTGATATGCTGAACTGGCCTTGTGTAAAATGGGAACAATTTTAACAAACCTAAAATAGGCATTTCATCATAAATTTCATAATATGTGGCCTGATTTTGCTACTGAATGTTTTGCTTTAGCAATACAGTTTACTTCCAGTGCAATTAGCTTACCTGCCTGTCCCTGATTCATTGCCATTTGGAAAATGGGCTGTTCCTTCAAGCAGTATAATTTCCAGTCAGATGTCAGGCTGGTGATGTTAATTGCAATTAATCTGGTGGCACATTTCTCTAGCCTGATTTCCAGTACTTGATTCATTGATGGAATATTGCACATGACACTACAGTAGGAATGAGTATTGTTACAGATTCTGTGTATTGGGTTGACATTGATCCAAGCTGCAGCTGGAAATGGCACCAGGTTCACACTATCTCAGTCAGAAAGGAAAACGGAAAGTCTTTGGCTCAAAAGATCATACTGAAAAGTTGTAGCTGTTGCGCAGGCGGGAAGCTAACAGAGAGCGTAATTCATGCATTGTTCCTGATATTGTCTTATTTGTTGTAGCCTCGTTCCAATCTGTATGGCTCGCACCCTTTTTACTTGGTAATGGAGGAGGATGGATCAGCTCACGGTGTTTTCCTGCTGAACAGTAATGCTATGGGTAAGATCTTGGCTTTAAACTTGTTTGAAATATACAAATACAAATCTTATTGATGAGATTGTAACTTGAGATCAGACACCAGTGGCCTGGAAATTCTCCTGGTCTTAGCATTAATACAATTGCCTTAAAACCTAAGGTAGTGCACCGTTTTGGAAAATTTGTATGTTCAGTCTAAATTTGGACTCTGGCCATTAATCCTAAAACCCTTAAATGTCTCAATGGAAAGTAAGTGAGTCACAACAAAATAAAAATACAATTCATTCGATGTTAAATTCTTTGCACAATTGCCTTGGTTTTTAAAAAAAAGTACTAAACTTGTTTCGGATGATAAATGAGGTGTGGGAGTTGAAATTGGAGCTAATCCTGTGATGTTTCGCATTAAGGAGTTTCACCTTTTTATCAGGGGAAGAGTCCAGCTGGGAAGCCGGGCTGATATTACCGCTGCCAGTTGACAGGAACAGGGATTTTTACAAGATTCTCCTGCTATTCCAGCTCATAAAAGCATCAACTAAGAGGAAGAGAGTATTTTACTGAAAACTAATACTGTTTTCCTGGGTTGTAACACTCAATGTCTACATCTGTTCCTATTCGGCTTTCATTACAAGCAGGACCATGAGAATTTCCCTGAATACGTACTGGACATTCTGGGTCCACGAACATAAAATTAGTACCAGATTTTGGCAAAATGGACCATTCGTTACCCTTCACTTAGCACTTCAAGTTAGCCATGCTGTTGATTTCTTCAAATCTCCTTCAAGCATGACGTTGAATAGCCAGGCCCTGTTATAATGTAGTATGTGACTGATTGCCCACAAGTGCAAATACATTGTACCTTTGACATTGTAATGGAGATTTCCACTGAGGCACTACACAAGACTCTAGACGTAGGAATAATTGTTCTTTCAAGGGAACCAACAACAACAAATTTCATTTGTTATGGCGTCTTTCACGTCGGGAACATGCCCCAAGACCTGACCAAGACTTTTACAGAAGGTTATTTCTACGTGAGGCAATGTGTATGGTATTGAATGCAATGTATTTTGAACCAGAATGTAAGATCAATGAAAACAAAAACAGGTCATGGACCCGAATCGTTGATTCACTTTCCTTTCTCCATAGATGCTGCCTAACCCGCTGAGTGTTCCCAGCGACTTCTGTTTTTTGTTTTCAGATTTTCAGCATCTGCAGTATTCTGTGTTGTGTAAGATTAAGTATCTTTATCTACAGAAGCACTGTGCATGTTGCCGGGACTTCTCCACAACTCTGCCCATTCACAGTCTAACAACGTCTTCCCAGCTATTTAGAGTTCAGAACAGGCCGCTGCAGCACGCAATGGCTTGAGCCACAGGTGACCACATTAAAATGTATGTGCAGGTGTACACAGGATGAGACGTTAAACTGAGGTCCCATCTGTTTGTTCAGGTGGATGCTAAAGGCGAAAAGTGCCCAAGGCACTATTTGGAAAAAGAAGAGTTTCTCCTGATGTCCTGGCCAACTATTCCCCAAAATAAAATTGGTTACCATCTCCATGGCTGTTTGTTGGAACGTTGCTGTGCACAATTGGTTGCCGCGATTCACCTACAAAATGCATACTTTCCAGTATATCATGTGAAGTGCTTTGAGGCATTTCAATGACGTGATGAGGTGCTCTAACATATGCAAAGATTTATATTCTTACTATTATAAAAGCAAAACTAGTTGGCATTTTCTTGAGTTGTGTAATTGGTTTGTGGAACCACACCCAATCTTAGATGATGAGGTGACTGACAAACTCTGGTTTTGAAACTTTGCTCAACTTACAAGAAGCCACAGGACCCTTCAATACTCTTAAGGGTGAAAAGGAATTCTTTCTAGCACTCCTCTCAGAATATAGATTGTTCATGTAGCATTTATAAACAGTGTTTTGCTATTTATATACTGAAATCATTTAAATACTATTTCCCTCCTGCATGCACCTGCATGTATGTTTTCATACTCGAGTCCCTCTCCAAATTTAGGGTCACTTGTGGCTCAAACCATTGCAAGCATAGTCCTGTAGCTTAGTGGTTAGAGCACTTGCCTCGCAAGCAAGAAGACCTGGGTTTGATTCCCGGACAGGGTGAAACATTAGGCAGGTTTACTTTCACCAAATGTCTCTGTTTACCTCTGTTTAGTAAGTAGGAACCCGGCTGTTCGTCGATTGGCGGATCGTGTTTCCGGGGGTAATATTCCCTTAAGAAAACAAGTTTGTTGCACATGTGTTTTGGTGCACATTAGTCTTCTGGTCTATCGCCAGCCAGTTGTTTAATAAATCTTAGGAAAAAAGTTCCATTGTAAAAATGGAATCAAATTGTGGGACTTTACCTGGAAAAAAAGCTGCAGGCCTTCAGCACTTACTTTAAGTGGGATTGATCCATCAATCCTGTTCTTGTGACATTCACAGTTCATTGTCTGCTGCTTGAAGAAACAGTGACTGAATGTATTACTACATCTTAACAACAAGCCTGCTTTATCCAGATGTGCTACTTCAGCCAAGCCCCGCTCTGACCTGGAGAACCATAGGTGGAATCCTGGATTTTTACATCTTCCTCGGACCAGACCCCAACTCAGTGGTCAGGCAATACATGGACATCATTGGTAAGGCTGAATACAATTCTTTACCGGAGCAAAATGTTTCTTGTAACAAGAAAGAGCACAGAATTGACAAATGACTTGTGACTGCGATTGGTTCCCCCTTGATACTTTGCAAAGTTAAGTGGCGTGCTTTCAGCCACTATGCACCAAAGCTCTGGAACTCTCTCCCTCAATCCCTCCGCCTTGCCCCCTCCCTCCCCACTTTCAAATACTGCCTAACGGCCTTCCTTTTTTGATCGTGCTTACGGTCACCTCGCTCTCCCCCTGGCTCGGGTTCAGACTACGCCACTGTCAAGCGTTCCCGGGATGTGGTTTTTACAGTATTAGAAAAGATCATCAATTTGTCTTTACATGTGATACCTGATTTTAGTTGGGAAAGAACATCCAGTTATCAATTAAGGTTCGTCTTATTTTTGATAGATGCTTGAATGTGTTTTTAAGAATCTGTACATTTCCCCTTTCCCCTCCCCAAACCCATTGTAAATTAAGTGTCGAAATAACGCCATTTTTTTCCCATTCAGGAATCCACGGTTCATTTTCATTTCATAATAGAAATAATTAGTTTCCCCCCTTCTTCCGAGATTTATGAAACAATCGGGTGGGTAGAAAAAAACATATCAAAACACTAATGTTTTATGTCGGTAAAGTGGGTATAACATGTAGGATTGATTTACAAGGTAATAAATCTAATGAGCCATTCTAATGATGTCCTGAACATTGAGAGTGGAGCTCAAAGCAGTTCCAGAACCACAAGATCTAATGAAGTTAAATTACAGCAGCCTTAACCTTGCTGTCGGCATTTGACTTTTGTTTTACACGCTGGATTGCCAATTTAGAAATAGTCTGTTTTCTGTTTCTCTCGTGCCTCTTTTATATCAAGCCTCCAGCTTGAGGAATACTGCAAGTGATAATGTGAGCACCTGGTCTTCTCTCAGTCGAGCACAAACCTCCCAACGTCCCTCCAGCTTGCCAGGTAGCCCCCAGTATAAAGCCAGCACACCGAGAGAATAAAATAGATGACAAAATATAATCTGGAAGTACATAAAGTACATGTACCCCCAATATTTCCATTCTTTCAGTAAATATATAATCCTTGCATTTGATACTAAACCGTTGAGATATCTCAAAGCGCTTCACAGAATAAGGTCAAGTGAACTGACTATATATTTTGTATGTGAAACCCACATAAATGTATGTGATATTACGAACATCTTTGCAACAGGAGAAAAAAAGTTATTTTTACAAGAGAGAACTGATAGTGCCTCCAATATCCTGGTAATATGTAAAGTTTGACTTTGATATCAAGAGCATCCTAGTGCAACACTTTATTGTGTATTAATATTGTGATCTGTGTAGGTTATCCAATAATGCCTCCCTACTGGAGTCTTGGCTTCCATCTGTGTCGCTGGGGTTACTCGAACACCAACATCACCCGGGAGGTAGTGGAGAACATGACCAGAGCCAACATGCCTCAGGTGAATAAGTCCTATAGCTCAGTGGTTAGAACATTTGCTTCCCAAGCGAGAGACTTGGTTTCAATTCCTGGTCACTCAATCCACACTGTTTGTGGGATACCACTGTGCGCAATTGGCTGCCGTGTTTCATACACAAAATATACAGTCAATTCACTTTACAGTATATTCTTTGAAGCGCTTTGAGACGTCTCAAAGACATGATACGGAGTTATATCAAATGCAAAGATTATTAATATTATAAACACTCTGTTCCCACTGGAAACAGAGAAAAGAGTTTATTTTGGTGTCCTGGCCGCTTGATACATGAAGCATTTCTTTTTGACACTTTTGGGCTCTATACAGGGATTATTATTGTTATTATTTTACGATTGATAATTGTTATATTATTTATTATGAGTTTCGTCCACAAAAATATACAGTCAATTAATTTTACAGTATATTCTGCGAAGCACTTTGAGACGTCTCAACGACACGACAAGGCTCTATGTAACTGCAAGGATTATTATTATTGGCTATATGTTGGCTGTTCTCCTGCCTTAACCCACTGCTCATGGTGTAAAGAAATGGAGTCCTGTAGCTCAGTGGTTAGAGCACTCGCTTTGTAAACGAGAGACCTGAGTTCAATTCCAGGCAGTGCGAAACCTTGGGCAAGTTTCCTTACTCCACACACAGCTTAATAATAATCCCTCCAAAAAAACAAACAAAAAAAATAATAAATTGGTCATTTTCAATCTACTACTATTTGTGGGACATTGCTGTGCGCAATTGGCTGCCGCGTTCGCCCACAAATATACAGTCAATTCACGTTACAGTGTGTTCTGTGAAGCGCTTTGGGACGTCCTCCCGACGTGAAAAGCGCTATATCACATGCAAGGATTATTATTATGGAATTAAAGGTGCTTGTCCACTCCACACCAATCAGTCCAACATTGTATCTAACATTGCCGGCGGCTGCGTACAACCTGTTCTCCATCTCCCCAGGACGTGCAGTGGAATGACCTGGATTATACCTACTTGAAAAGGGATTTCACCTACAACAAGCTAAACTTTGGAGACTATCCACAGATGGTGGAGGAGTTTCACCAGAAGGGCCTGAAGTACGTCATGATCGTGGTGAGCAAAAAGACCAAATCACAGACCCCTGCCACAAGCTCAAATTAACCCAACATCAAAAGCACATCAAACCGTTTTGATCTTTTCCTGGTGTTTGAATAAGACGCAAACATTTAAGAAGTAAAAATGTTAAAAGCCTTTAATTAAAATGTATCAGCACTTAGATCAGTGAGGCTTTTAACCAGGAGGCATTGACCACAATGACCTTCATAGTATGGGGTCCTTCAGAGTATGGGGGTTTAACTCCTTCAGACTGCTTGGCTGAAATTGCTAGCACAAGGACCGTAACCTGTGTTTTCTTCTTTTGAGAGTGGGTTGTCTGCGCTAACAGAGGAACTCAAAAGTGAAATTTTTGTATCCCAAGTTTCAACATCTGATTTGCATTTGCATGGCTCATAAACACCATCAAGTGGCAGTTAAAAAGAACAGCAACAGTAAAGCAATGAACCGGTCTGCAAAAAGTTCTTAATGCAGCCCCGTCCTTGGCACACATTTTCAACTCTCGTAATGGTGTCAAGGCACAGCGTAGGTTCAAGTTAGACACTTTATCAACTTTCAAAGAGCAATGGGCTGAGGGGACCCTCCGGGATTTCAGTCCAGAATCTTGTCTGAAGACAATGTCCTCAGCCAATTGAGCTGAATTCTGCAACAAAAGTGAATGAAACGTGAAAGGCCTGTGTGAGGGCACGTGGCATACACGGGGTGCCTTAGGGCTCTGACACTGTTGAGCGCCCTTGGACACTACTCTGCATGAGGGGCGCATGTTGTTGTATTTCATCATGAAGTATGTTGTGATCACACTGTCTGCTTACTCCTTTAATTCGATTTTGAGATTTAGGTTCTTGTTTATGATTCTGAATGTTTTGCTCATATCCACAGGATGTGGGCATCAGCAGCTGGCAGGCAGCAGGGTCCTACAAGCCTTACGACAACGGGCTAAAGAGAGGAGTCTTCATTAAGAATGAAACCGGCCAACCCCTAATAGGGAGAGTAAGTACTGTAATCTTTATTTCCCCATTTTCTCCTTAAAGAAGAACCAAAGGTGGTTCTGGATATGGAGAAAGAGCAGGGGAGTGGGACTGATTGGGTAGCTCTTCCAAAGAGCTAGCATAGGCACGATGGGCCAAGTGGCCTGATTCTGTGCTCTAATATTCTATGATTCTATGGATTTGAATTATTTACCCAGTCTTACTTGTGTGAAGAAGTTAGAAAGAATATCTATCTCAAAATCCCCCAACTATTGTGGCTTCGGTTCGGGAAATGTCAAACTGAAAGCTCACTTAACATTACTTACTTCGCAAGGTACTTCCAATCAAAAAAACGCATTGAAAGAAAAGGTTATTTATTTCACACTCTCTTTTCTAGGTGGGCTCCAGTGCATTGCATTTCTCTTAACCTTTGTGGTGGCTGATTGTTATTGTAGAGAAGCTCTCAGTCTGTTTCTTGTGAACATTTCATCGAACGTGTTCGTCACTGGTACCATTGTAGCCTAAAGGTCAGAGATTGCATCATTACCACATGATAATAGAGCATCTCTGAGTCAGGCGAAAAGAATGTGCCTTAAAAATATGCACTTTAAAAGACGTATGTGGTAAGTCTGAATAAGTGTTGTGATTCAACAATACCAAACTTCACTCAGTAACACCTGTTCATCACAAGGGTTTGTGTAAATCTGAAAGCAAGAAGGAGTCAAAATTCCTTCAGGGGAAATTAATATGCATTTTAAAAAAGTGTGGTTCAAGAATTAGCTGTGTCTTAATTGAGTTCAATGTATCTTGTTGAAGAATTTTTGTTTTGGTCAACTGGGTGTCTGACACATATAAAAATCCATCACCATGCTTAAGAGTATCCAAACTAGGCTGAGATTTCCATGCATCCCACCTACACATGGAAATCCCAGAGACAGATTGTTGGAATGGAAGGAACACTTGCTCCCTGGAGGGACACATCTTGTTTTCCTCTGATGAGAACTGCAACTCCAAAAGCAACTTTGAATTGATTCTTTGCCTATTTTTTTCCTCAGGTCTGGCCAGGTCCGACTGCTTTCCCTGATTTTACGAACCCGGAGACCCACAGCTGGTGGTATGAGAATATCAAGGCATTTCATGATAAAGTGCCATTCGACGGAATGTGGATCGTAAGTAAATCCAAAAATCTAGTCAAAATTATGCGTGGGTGAAAAGCAAAACAATGGTTTCCCTAATTACAGGGTGGGTTAACAACCTACATGCAAAATTTATCATGCGCAATACAGATACAACATCAATTTCAACAACAACAACAACTTGCACTTATATAGCACCCTCCACACATGGTAGTGTCTCAGATGTAACTTGCATTCCTTTGCACACTTGGCTGTGTGAGCCCATCAGCCCCACTCCACTGACTTTCTGTCCTGCAACGGATTGACTTTAATACCCCCTTACTTCCAAATATCTCCATGGTCTCGCCCCTCTGAGATCCACCCCCATTTCATTCTGCCAACTCTAGCCTGCTTCAAATCTCCCTCCATACTATCAGTGGGCAAGCATTCAGGCACTTTGCCCCTTCCCCTTTGAAGCTTACTCCCTAAATCCCTCCACCTTGCTCCCTCCCTCTTTGCTGAGAGGCAAGTGAAATCAACTGAGTCCAGACACTGAGCAAAAAATATATATTTTACAGGACATGAATGAGCCTTCCAACTTTATCAATGGGGCAATAGTTGGTTGTCCAGACAACACAGTGGAAAATCCTCCTTATGTACCAGGTAAAAAAAAACTTTCTGTGATTGGCAGTTTCCTCTCATCCTTTCCTGAAGACATTCAACATTTACTTTCACATTATCGGGATCATGGCTGTCTAGGTGTGTGTTGTTTTACCCAAATGCGCTATTCTTCACGTGGGAGCCTTGACATGTGTATGTCTTCAGACTATTCAACTGCTGTGGCCCAATTTTCTCCTAATTCACATACATGCACACATACATCTCCAGCAGGGGTCACTGGTAAACAATCTGGAGCAGAACATCCTGGCTCACCTTTGTCTTTCCCATTCGAGGTTGATGAGTCTGATGGTAGCAAACCAGCCCTGACTTGCTGGTGGGATCAGCTAACTCAACAAAGACCAGTTTAGCTATTTACTCAATGAACGGAGTAAACTATCAGAGAGCCCTGTACCAAGTAAAGGCTGGAATGTCTTGAAATGTACCACAAACATAACACATATGTATATACACACACACACATACAAAGAACACATTTACACATACACTCACACGACCTATCTATACCATTAACATCTTGTACCATCACCTGTTATCTCCAAAATCTTTCAGTTCCCTCACTTTCCCTTTCCCTTGATTTTTCCGTGGGAGTGATTTTGAAGACCTTGCTATAAAAGTATTGTCTGTCTGTGACAGGTGTGACAGGAGGAAGCCTGAGCTCTCGCACGCTGTGTATGTCTGGAAAACAGTACTTGTCATCACATTACAACCTGCACAATATGTATGGGCTGACTGAGGCCATCGCTTCTCATGAGTAAGTGGCACAATTCAAACACTGAAGTGTCACATGTACGTGATATAGTCTTGCTTACAGCAAGTTCTTTTTTTCAATCCGCACGTTGTAGTCTTGAACTTGCTGTCTAGACTAAAACGTTTTTGCAGTGTTGCATTGTCAGAATTTCTGCCTAATGTTAAAGATCCCTGGTACTATTCAGAAGTGGAAAGCTTCTCTAGTGTCTTCACTTTCAATTCATATTAATAATAATAATAATCCTTGCATTTGATATAGTGTCTTATCACATCGATGAGACATCTCAAAGCACTTCACAGAATATACTGTCAAGTGAATTGACTGTATATTTCGTAGGCGAAATGCGGCAGCCAATAGTCCACAACAGTGTTCCACAAATAGTCATAAGAACATAAGAAATGCTAGACGAAAAAAAGACCTAGGTCCATCTATTTCAAATCAAACCTGGATCCTCTTGCGTGTGAGACGAGTGCTCTAACCAATACGCTAAAGGATCGGTCATTCACTTCATGGCTCTTTGGGGGATCTTGCCAGGGCACAAAGTGTCTGCAGTTTGGCTTTAAAAACCATCACTACAGTTAACAGTAATTAATGTAAAGCACTTTCAGATATTTCACGAGGAAGGTTCAAATTGTTTCACTTGTTTTTCTTTCTCGTGCCATAAATCATGTTTTCCTTTAAGTTCTGATATTCCACTTTTGAGTACATTTTAAATGCATAACCACGTGTGAAATACCTGACTCACAATGAATCAGCACATTCAGTTGAACAAGAAAAGTTAGGCGCTGCTTTAGGGTTACGTACTTGGCAGATTGAATGGGAGGTGTTTTTAGTGCTGTTGTACTATGCACCCAATGGCCTCCCTCTGTTCTGTATGTAAACCTTCTGTGTTTTGAACGAGGTCTACTTATTCAGAATGGTCATCACGGTTTCCATCAAGTTTCCATCTAGCCATCAACCTAATTGTTACATTGCCCATTTGAGGTTTGCATTGTAACTAAAATGTGGGAGAGATTGAGAAGTGAAGTTGCACAATTTAAAACAATAGGATTTCTATATTTAAAAAATGTGGTCACTCAATCAACAACTGTTTGTGGGTCACTGCTGTGCGCAATTGTCTGGTGCGTTTCGCCCACAAAATATCCAGTCAATCCACTTTACAGTATATTCTGTGAAGAACTTTGGGACCTCGCAACAATGTGATAAGGCGCTACATCAAGTGCAAATATTATTGTTACAATTCATTACCAACAAAACCGTATGGGGTGGTGCTCTGCTTGTAATCCTGTATGCTGATGATTCATGTATTCCATTAGCGTTGATCAGTGTTTATTTTTTATGTAAAAATATTAATCTGTGATCTGATCCCTGGGGCAAGATAAGATTCTGATCTTATGAATCTGTTTGTTTTAATTGCTTCGCAATGGGTGAGAGAAAAAATGGGATTTGATACAGTGCAATGATTGGCTTCTCAGAAAAGCACGGGGAGAATTAGTCAAGAGTGTCTGTTTCCTCCTGATGGTATCTGATGACAGTATAGTCATGTAGATAACCTTATATAGATATCAGTACTTTGAGACGTCTCAAAAGACATGATAAAGCACCATATCAAATGCAAGGATGCAAGGATTATTATGTGTGTGCACAATCCTGGGGCATAAACATATAACCCTCCCTGTACATATGTACACAACACTGTGATGCACACTTTATCGTAGTACTTGCGCGGAAAGTATTGCTCCAAGAATCAGAAGAATGTGGCTAAGCGCTTGCCAATGGATCCGCTTCAACCTGAACCTTTGCAAGACACAAACTTCACTCAACCCAATAAATGTAACTGATAGAAATGGACAGAGATTTGCCAAAGATCACCAAAAGGGAATCAGCCCAGTGCGTCATTCACTAAATTTAAAAACTCATTATCAAAGCAGTTCACCCAACCTGTTTTAAAATAAAGTTGGCATGAAACAGCATCTTCTCAAAAAAGGAAAGCTGCCTTTATACAGAGATGAAAAATCAAAGTAACAACAGGGGTATTCGGTGAATTTAATCGTCCCCACCTCCCCATGTATAGCCTCACTGGAAGAAATAATTCATTGCATTGACACAGGGCCAAAGATTTTTTGGTCTAATATTTAATGGAACAAAAAAGGGATTTGGTGCGGATTTTGTGGGTGATTGGGCGGTGAATTATTTAATAATAATAATATTAAAGATAATCCTTGCATTTGATTTAGTGCCTCCTCACGTCTTCTAGAGGTCTCAAAGCGCTTCACAGAATAAACTGTAAAGTGAATTGGCTGGATATATTTTGTGGGCGTAATACTTGCATATTGGCAGTGGGTATCTATCTGTGTCATGCGCGGACGCAGTGTGAGGTGCACCATCACCTGTTTAATTCTTTGCCCTTGTTTAACATCTAGTGCATTGATCAGAATACTTGGAAAGCGACCGTTTGTGATTTCACGGTCCACGTTCCCCAGCCACGGTCGCTATGCTGGACACTGGACAGGAGATATCATGAGCAGCTGGAATCACATGTATCACACTATCCCAGGTACAGAAATCAGAATTGTGAATCTTCCCTTTTCATGTTACTCGACGACAACAACAACAACTTGCATTTATATAGCGTTCCTTCTCGCGGGGTAGCTTCACGGTGGCACAGTCTGATGACGAGCCAAGGGGAGACGGAGGGGGAGGTGACCATAAGCACGATCAAAAAGGAAGGTCGGCTACTCAGTTGTTATGCCCACAAGATATACAGTATATTCTGTGAAGCGCTTTGAGACGTCTCAAAGACGTGATAAAGCACTATATCAAATGCAAGGATTATGATTATTACGTTTGCCTGAAAAAAAAGTCACTACCCTTTACAGTAAATCCCGTAGAGCTCTTCGAGACATCCTCTGTATGTGAAAGGCGTTATATCAAAGTAGGTATTATTACTTAACAATACATGTATTGCGTTTCGGGAAATTGTGTCACGATTTTGAAATGAATACTTTTGGGCGGTTTAATTTAATGTCATGACTGCATTATTCTTTGATTAATTCCATCAGCTCTGCATTACCTTTCAGAAATAAGAGGTTGTTTAATGTTCGAGACAGGCGCCTATTCTTTCTTGAAGCGATCGTACTGTTAGGAAGAAAAATATGATGTGCTGTGAACCTCAGTACAGTTCAATTGTGGCGAGTCTTTTGGCACTTGACAGTCAGTCATGTAACAGTGAAATGTAATGCTGTCACAAGCCATACTGACAGGATGTGTTCCTATTCCTCAATGGCCTAGTGGGTATAAGCACAGACATTGGAACACCACAAGGTCAGAGGACCAGAAGAAGGTCAGAGGTTTAAGTTCCGCTGGTGCTGAGCGAGCTGATCAGAGCTGCCAGGCTTGCCCATTCCCTTTGATTCCTCTCCCAGAAGATGCCCGAGTGAAGACAGGATTGTGCTTGGATATTATATCTGTTGCAATCAAATAGCCTGCTAATGGGACGTCCTCCCGACGTGAAAGGCCCTATATACAATACAATCTGTTGTGGTTGTTGTTGAACACAAGGAACTGAGTGTCTGACAGTGTATCGAACACTGGAGATCCATTTTGGCTCATGCACTTTACCAGCAGAGCCTTTGGTTATTGATTACAGTTCCATCACAAATGAAGGAATTAACAATACCTGATGAAGTTTCAGAATTCTCATACTGTCGGGCGAGGGGCCTTGTTTATACATTTTAAAACCGTTTAAAAAAAAAAAAAAAAGTGCGAGCGCGAGTGTCAGAATATTGGTGCGGCAATGCCTTGTGGTGTCTGTCGTTCCCAGCAACTATGCTGTTCAACATGTTTGGTATCCCTCTGGTGGGAGCGGATGTCTGCGGTTTCCACGGCAACAGCAACGAGGAGCTGTGTGTGCGTTGGACGCAGCTCGGATCGTTTTATCCTTTCATGCGGAATCACAATGATCTACATCAGCAGGTCAGTGTTTGAGTGACTGAGAAGGATTCAAGTAGTACCTTGGTATAGATTGTTGGTCATTCCGTTGAATGTATGCAACATTTGGCTGCCCAAAATCGTTCATTGGAGTTTAAAGAGACTCTTAAGCATGATTTCAGACTTTTGAGTTAACAACAGCGTACAGGTATTATTAGAATTGCCTAGGTAACATTTGCGGACAAAAATAGCACCTTGACAAATTATTAATAACAATTATTAAATTGCATATGCAATTTAGCGTTTAAATGGGTTTCTTTGGGCACGTCTGAAGATGTTTCAGTCAAACATTAAAATGTTGAAATCTACAAAATGCGCTGTCCTGAACCCTTTTAATTCGGATTTTTTTCTACTAACAGCTATCGATTCTTCAAGGATTTACTATAATAACAATAACCTTGAAGAATTGGCAATATACAAACAGTACATCCTATGAAGTGCTTTGAGACTTCTCGACGAAATGATAAGGCGCTATATCAATTCAAGGATGATTATTATTTTTATCCATAATCTGCATTGACACAAACCCTTTGACGTCGAAGTGTCTCAAAGTGCTTTACAGTAATTACTGTTAAGTGTAGTGACTGCGGCATTTCCAGGGGAAAGCGGCAGCCCATTTGCGCTCAGCTTAATCGGCCAGAAGTTGAATGACCAATTTATCTGGACGATAAGATATGTCATATAATGTGAAGTGCCTGCCTATTCAAAATATACTCTTTGCTTTCTTTGGGGAAAAGAGAGCTTAATTCCATGAGGACTCACACCTCTGTGAGGCTTCCTTCACCTAGATGACAGGTGCTGCCTTGGCTGCATTCATTTTCTCAGCTGCCAGTACCTTTGATGTAACAGGCCAAGAAAAATCAACGTGAATTATTTTTCTCCTCCTTGAGGCAAGCTGTCAATGGTAGGAGCCCCAACTGCAGAAACTAGATGAATTGCTGCTTGGAGCTGTAGCTCACAAGAGAGCGCTCCTTATTAAAACGTAACTTGTGAGAGGCCCGAAGTGTTCCTTTTCTTAATTCAGAGTGGCATGTGTGATTGGTGGGCATGGAGGCATTCTCCATACTGCAATGCCAGCTGAAGGAAGGTGCTGAGGGGTTGGGAGGGGGGTGCGAGAAGCCTCGGAAGGAAACAAGAGGGGAAAATGTTAATAAGAAGAGACCCGGCCGTGAATGAAGTGGTTACAATGAGAGGACTTTGTGTTTCAGTCTCAAGAACCGTACGTCTACAGTAAGACAGCGCAGGCAGCAATGAGGAAAGCTCTGTTCACCAGATACTCACTGCTGCCTTTCCTCTACACCCTCTTCCACAAAGCACACTCTGATGGCGAAATGGTGGTTAGGCCGCTGTCGTTTGAGTAAGTTATACAGTACACTTTACATTTATACAGCGCCTTTCATGTGGGGAGGAGGAGTCTCAAAGCGCTTAACACTGTTGGCTGGGCACCCAACCTGGGGGGAAGGGGGAGAGGAGACCTGAAGAGGCTGGGAAGGCGAAAGATGACCAAAAGTGCGGTCAGGAAGGAAAGTCTTGAAGCAGCCTAAGTGAAATTATGCTCTGTGTCTGCCCCCAATGCCAACAATTAATTTGTTTTGCAGCGTTGAACAGATTTTTGTTTTTCTCTTCGCTCAATGCTGAGCCCTGAAAGTGGTTGTGTTGCAATTCTTTCCCTTTCTGCCATGTACACAAATAGACTTAGCAGTAAATTGAATCAGGATCCAATGTGATTATCTTTTGGCTTCGTGCAAAACAAGGTCTGCAGCAGAGCAATGTTGCAACATCAGCGCTGTGTAGGTAAATCTATTAATTGCTCCATGTGTCGGAAATCATTAGGTGGACTTTCACAGAGTTGCTAATGTTTCTTGACGTATTGGACCCTGATTGTGCTTTGACACAAGGATGCATGCCGTGGGTAGAAACTTGCAAAGAATACAGGGAATAGCATTAAAGTTTGGTCCAGGGAAAGGCTACCGTTCTCCTCAGGTTTTCACATGTGAAACCTAAATTGCTAATTACTGTAGATTTGTTTGACCTTTTCACTATAATTAATTTATACACTTGATGTTGTGAGCAGACCTGCAGCAGAGCTTTGTTGCCCAGCACGGACCATCCAGATTTAGACCTGGTGATGAATGTAACCTTTATTTACTCGACCATTACTTCATTGCCGCTTTGTGCATTGCTGCTGTTACCGAGGCCTGCTTTGCTCCACTGCCACAATCATCTGAGCTACTGTCGTGTCTCAGGCATGGGTGTTTGTATCTTTACTACTTTCTGAAAACTAAGGTACATCAATGTGCAAAGAAAACACGAGGATGGATGTGAATCCTTCTACTCTTTTCTTCTGCTTCCTGAAACCTCAGTTGACTGAGAACATGTGAATTGTTTCTCCCAGCTGAAATCTGAAACCTCCCCAGAAATCCGGTAGACATCAGTCAATTTGAGATGGTTGTAACATTCTGGTAACAGCTAGGATAAACGTTTAGTGAATATTATCCCAATATTTCTTTTGTAAGGCCAGAAATTCCACCCCGTCTTAGCCTGTAGCTTAAAATTTAAGCTCCTGCAGAACCATGGAAAATTCTTAATCTGTCTCAAAGTTCTAACTTGGAAGACGATTCCTTTTTAAGAACAACGGAAAACAAGTTTCCAAATCATGCCTGAATTGAAGAATTTTCCACAATTCTGCGTGACCTTTAATTTCAAGACAAAAAGGTCTTAAAAAAAACAGACTAGTTAGATTTTCAGGGCCCTTGAACTGTCCTGGAAATCAGATGACGTCTGCGTGGGTCAACTCTCCCTTTCTCTTTAGGTTTCCTCAGGACCCAAACACATTGATAATCGATCGGCAGTTTATGTGGGGGAAGGCGCTCCTCATCAGTCCAGTATTAGCACCCAAAACAGTAGAGCTCTCCAGTTATTTCCCTCCTGCAACATGGTACAGTCTCTATGATGTGAGTATTGTCTCATCGTCCCTCTTGAATATATCTTACCTTTGCTGTGCTGCTGCACAGTCTGCCCTCATACCACCTACAGAGACTTGAGTCCACACTTACACCGCTACCCCACATGAGATCATGTTTAGTTCAGTGGATACTGACTGGATCTAAGCTCTCTTGTTTACTGTGCTGACACAAACAATCATTCTCCAAATGTGCACTGACCAGTTTTTCTGTTACTGTCTTACTCTCAAGACATATTTCCAGATGTATATTCATCCACTTGCTCCCAGTCCATCTGTCTATCGAACCGTACATTTTCCCAAACCCCAATTTTCCCACCACCACTTTAAGGAGAGCGTTCAATTTGATTCCTCTTCACTTTCCAAATATGAAGACTTTTCATGAAACCATGCAGGTGATATCAGGATTTGTACTAATAGTCCACCGAATGAGGATTGAACAGATACCTGACGTAAGCACCGTGAATGCAGGGGTGACGACACTATTGAGCAATTCTCTTTTCATGCCAACTCACTCTTGTGGGAGTGATAACAGCAAATGTTAAGGTACTGAATGTACTTGATATCAAGACCAAACCAGTATTCAGACCATGTGCCACAAAAAGAATGGCCGTTAAGTGCATGTTTTCCCAGTATCGAGAAACAGTTGATTGTATCTCCCTACCCGCAAATGCACAACAGCCACACATGTCCACTCCACACAAAGTCACATACACACAGCCCCTGCCTGTCTATGGTTGAGGTTCCCTTGCTAGAAGTGTAATAATATGTACACAGAATGGCATTATCAGATCAATGTACTAAAGCACTAGCTCCCTCCGAACTGCTGTATGAGCAACAATCAAAATGTCTACTCACACAGTTTTATACATGAAGGGTTCTCACTGCACCTGACAGTGTTCATCGTTATTTTAATCCCTCTCCCTCTCTTACTTTTGTACTTCATGTTCTCAGGGTTCTGCTATTCACAGCAAGGGACAGTATATCTTACTGCCGGCACCCTTGGATACAATAAATGTTCATGTACGAGAAGGTTGCATTTTACCCTTACAGGTAAGAGCATGCAAAACAATCTACTTCAGCTCCACTGTCAATTGGTTTGAAGGTATGTGCCCCAGTGGACCTCTTGAGGAGGCTAAAGGTTTTAATAATAAATAATAATAATCCTTGCATTTGACATAGCGCCTTATCACTTTGTTGAGATGTGTCATTGCGCTTCATTGTCCCTCCAAAAAACAAAACAATAATAAATTGGTCATTTTCAATCCACGGCTGTTTGTGGGACGTTGCAGTGCGCAATTGGCTGCCGCGTTTCGCCCACAAATATACAGTCAATTCACTTTGCAGCATATTCTGAGAAGAGCTTTGAGACGTCTAGAAGACGTGAAAAGCGCTATATCAAATGCAAGGATTATTATTATTATTATAGATTGTCAAGTGGATTGACTGTATTTTGTGGGTGAAATGCAGCAGGCAATTGGGCACAGCAATGTCCCACAAACAGTCGTGGATTGATTCACCCAATTTTTTTTAAAAAATAAAAAATTTGAGAGATTATTACCCTCAGAAAGCTATCCGCCAATTGACTAACAACAAGGTTCCTATCTACTGCTAGGTAAACGGGCATGTGCAGTAAGGAAGCTTGCTGAAGTTTTGCCCAGCCAAGGAATCAAACCTGAGTTCTCCTGCTTGCGAGGCAAATGCGCTAAACGCTACGCTACGGGACTCCACAATTGATGGTGTCCAATTGCCTTTTCACTTTCAATGCTTCCTTCTTTTGCTATGGGCTTTGCGATCGGCAGAGAGCCAGAAACAGTGCCAGTGATATCAGGACTTTGTACTAAGGGTCCACGGAATGAGGATTGAACAGACACCTGACTTAAGCACTGTGAATGCAGAAGTGACTGCACTGTTTAGCAACTCTCTTTTCGTTGCGTTTTACTCTTGAATGGTTAAATTTGCAGTCGTCTCATGAGATGTCGATTTGTGATTAAAACGTGTTCGTTTCGGCTCGCGGCAGGAACCCAATACCACGACCACAGCATCCCGTGGGAACCCGCTTGGCCTGATCGTGGCACTGTCCAATCGGGAAGCGGCCAGGGGAGAGCTGTTTTGGGACGATGGAGATAGCCTATCGACGTACGAGAATGGCGACTACACTCACATTATCTTCCTGGCCAGAAACGTAAGTCTGGTTGAGCTTTCAAGTCCATATTTGGTGACGTTGTGTTGAGTCCAATTAAGCTATCCAGCTAATTATTATAATAATCATAATAATAATAATTGCCTGTTAATTATGACAGCTATGGCGTCATAGCCTGTGTTCTCAGCCTCGCCCAGCTCTGGGAGATGTTTGGACGCTACATTTGGCCATAGTCCCTAGGGGTGAGGGAGAGTGAATCTGCCAGAGTTCCTGCTCCTAAGATTAAGTTAATGCATACAGTATTCATTTTTCAAACTGTCACGCAGCAGAGTTTTAGAGCAATGTTAATGTGTTTGCTGCTGTCAGACGTGCAAAAGCTTGAGAAGCACAGCTGTGCTGTAAGAAATTCAAAGGTGACGAAGACCATTGTGCTTTTGCAAGTCAGCTTTCCTGACGTTTTTCTCTTCCCTCAACTCAGAACATACTGTTTAGTCAGATAACCCGTTTGAACAGCCAGATAGATGGCGTGGTGCTGGGCACGGTGTCTGTGTTTGGAGTGGCATCTCCCCCTCTCGATGTGTCCGTTAATGGAGTCTGGATCTCTGACTTTTCCTACAGAATGGATTCAAAGGTAAGGGACAAGCGTCCTTTGGTCAATTTTCCACCACCTCCCGGCACAGCATGGCGCAGTCTGAGCAACTGTTTGCCAATTTTAAAAAGATGATGACAATAATAATCCAATAATAATGTCTTATCACTTCTTCGCGACGTCTCAAAGCGCTTCACAGAATATACTGCAAAGTGAATTGACTGTATATTTTGTGGGCAATGCATCATTCCTATTGTCTTCCAATTTACAGCATTGTGTAAAAAATTTTTTTTATCTCAATGGTTTAGGGTTTAGGGTTGAAAGCAGTTTGGGACTAATGGGATAAATCTCTAGTGGTTAGAGCACTCGCTTTGCAAGCGAGAGACCTGAGTTCAATTCCCGGCAGGGCGAAACCTTGGGCAAGTTTCCTTACTCCACACGCCTAATAATAATCCTCCAAAACCAAAAACAATAATAAATTGGTCATTTTCAATCTACAACTGTTTGTGGGACATTGCTGTGCGCAATTGGCTGCCGCGTTCGCCCACAAATATACAGTCAATTCACTTTACAGTGTGTTCTGTGAAGCGCTTTGGGACGTCCTCCCGATGTGAAAAGCGCTATATCAAATGCAAGGATTATTATTATTATTATATTATTATTTTGCTTTGTTATTTCACTGGGTGCAAGTGTCATGTGTTAGGATGGGCGTATTGAGTGCAGGATTTTCTCTACAAAGAGAAAATGAACAAAGGGCGGCACAAAGGACTCTACAAGTGAGCACAATTGTCATTATATTGGCATTATCTTTCTCGCAAGAAGCAGAAGAATAGCTGTTTATAAGCCTCCTGGGTGTAGTTCAGCAAATACTGAAGTCTTGATGCTTCTCTCGGTGGTGGGTAGAACCAAAGCCCTAGTGTTGCAAGGATTGGAGAGGATTGCGTGTTACAGCTATGCAGAAAATCTCATGTTTCAAGGTGTTTCCCCTTTGCAAGTGACAGTTGCGTACTTTTGGGAAATGTCCTCAGGTATTTCGTCTGTGTTTGTTATGGGAGATGTCGGTTGCGACATTCCTTAGCTAGAAGTCAGATTTGGGTGAGTCTTCAGGCCGAGGTTTACCTTGACTTTTTTTAAATTTCCTCTTTTAGGTGCTGACCCTGCAAAATCTCTCTGTTCTTGTGGGCGAAGAGTTCACAATCACATGGTTCTGAAGAAAGCCTCCTCAACTAGGTGAAGCTCCATGTGACCAAGTCCAGCCGAAGGTTAAAGGGCAAAAAATTTCACGCGTGTTTCAGAACTCCTGAAGACAGGATAGAACACTTCTTTCATTGCCCGATATTTTCAGGGTTTAAAATTGACTGTGGTGGAGTGGCTTGAAATACAATGTAAGATTTTTGTATTTTCAACAATTTATTTTACACACAATTTTGTGTGTTCTCTTTCTACTGGGACATGCTGGACTGCCTTTTCAGACTTCTTGGAACTCAAAAGTGTAGCAAGAGAATGATTGCACAGTTGAATGTTAACACAAAACGTTGCGATGCTTTTCACTGAAAGTGAGGACCATCTATGAGTTCTCCATCGTACGGTGCTTCTCGTCTTTTTAAAATGTTATCCTTCCATTGCTGTGATTCTTTTCTGATGCTCACTGTATGATAACTCCTTTCATGATTGATGATTTAAAAAAAAAAAAAATTGTACAGCTGTACAGGTGATGGAGTGTTGGTGGAATTTTATCAAATTATTGACCCACTTCTGTTCTCAATTTCACGATCAATTTATTGTTATAATAATATAATAATCCTTGTATTTGATACAGTGCTTTTCACATCTACACATCTCAAAGCGCTTCACAGAATATAGTGTAAAGTGAATTGACTGTATATTTTGTGGGCGAAACGCGGCAGCCAATTGCGCGCAGCAGTGTCGCACAAACAGTCGTGGATTGAGTGACCAAATTATTATTGTATTTTTTTTTCTTGGGGGATTATTATCAGGCGTGTGGAGTAAGGAAACTTGGTCAACGTTGCGCCCTGCTGGGAATCGAACCCAGGTCTTTCACTTGCGAGGCGAGTGCTCTAACCACTGAGCTACAGGACTTGTTCTATTCTGTAGCACACATAGTGTTGACTGCCACCAAGGCAACCTGGAAACGGTTTAGCAAGATAAACACCTCTGCTTTGACTGGTAAATAATAATTATTACTAGAGTGTAATACGTAGTCAGGTGAAGTGGTCTACTATTGGCGCTGCTTCCTGAAGGCGTGATCATTTACAATTGCTTATGAAAGCCCTGAAGATGACAGGGAAGGATGCAACCGTGAGCAGAGGATGGACTGGGAATGAATCATCTGTAGGTGTTAGCACATGGAGATCAGAAATATTAGTCTGACAGCTAAGTGTTGAGTGTCACGGAGCGATTTTACTGACACAAAAGATGGTGGGCAAAGGTCCATGATCGATCGGGTAAGTACCAAAAGCTAGAGTGACGAGGCTGGAAGTGAAAGACGCAAAGCAGGGCAGTCAGTGGAAAGCGCTTGCTTAGTATGTGATTTGTTTGTGCGATATTCAGTTTTTGCCTCAATTCAAGTTTAAAGAGGCCAGCTTGGAACATCTGATACTTCATCATATACAGTATAACGCATATTTAAATTTGCTAGCCTAGGGTTATAATGATTGTTTTGTAGTCTCATTTTGATATCGATCCCTCTTTTTCACTTTGCATGTGATATTACATGGCACATTTCACACCTGTACAGTTGGAGTAAACACTGTACACTGTTGGTATCTTCACACTTACTGAACGTCCTGCGGAGGTGCCTTTGAAAGTTCTCAATAGCTCTCGTTTCCTAGCGACTAATCAATCTGTAACCATAGCAATGGAACATTTTAGCAAGATCAGCAATCGAGCCTATTTCCATGCAAATCCCTAATGGTTGGAACGTTTTCTCTGTGTATTGATTCCATTATTTTAACTTAATGCACATTTTGGGTACACCAATGTCACTCACTTACACCCAGTTCCCTCAAATTGGAGCACATTTGGTAAGTCTTGTGTTTGGAGTTCTGTATCAAACCTTTTTCTGACAATAATTCTTGCATTTGATATAATAATAGTCCTTGGATTTGATATAGCGCCTTATCACGTCGTTGAGACTTCTCAAAGCGCTTCACAGAATATATTGTAAAGTGGACTGACTGTGTATTGTGTTACTCCTCTGATCTCTTTCCGACAGAATACCAAAAATGGAATGGTACAAATGACACAATGACAAAACAGCACTTGAGCTGTGATATCCAGAAAGCTCTGAAAGCAGGGAGGTAAAACAGGAATTTGTCTGTTGATTGTTTTCTTAAACTAGCCTCTATCACCTTTGTGCTAGATAGTTTATCTACCAGATCCATGAAAGAGTAAAAGAGGAGGAAAACCTACAAAGCTAGTTTCCTGACTGACATCTGTGAATTGCGATTTGTAAATGTGGATTGCTATAGCAATAGTAAGCCTTGCATTTGATGCAACGCCTTAATACCTCGTTGAGACGTCTCAAAGCGGTTCACAGAATATATCATAGAGTGGATTGACTGGGCAAAGCCAAAAATATAGAACTGTACTGGGTATGTGAAGCATTCTCCTTTTGTTTCATGCAAGTAGAGGAAAGTGATTCCATATTTGTCTGACTTGTATGACATCGGACAGGTATTCTGTCCTTTGTGTTATTCTGACGCACTGGTGCAAAAGATGGACAACCCGCACTAGCTTAGGAGCAAGTGCTCTTTAGAGACTTGGGAGTTCAAATACATTGCTAAGAGTTCCATTCCTCAATGCTTGACCTTTAATGAACACAAACCCATACATCCTCAAGCAATGCAATTGAAAACCATCTACCATTTCCACAGAGCAATATGCAAGGGTAATTTAACTAACTGTGTGGATGTTAAAATATCAATTGCACTGAGGGGAATACCACACTGGGGGAAAAGTGGCACAAGTGGAGCAGGCATCACTGAAGCCTATTAAAAAATATCTGCCTTATTATTGCCCCAGTGCCTCTCCTTGTGAACATTCATTACAAAATGCCTCACAAGTTACAGACATCTACTGAGGAAAAGCAGTCAGGATCCTGGGGAAAGAAATGCTTTCGTCGTAAATATTTTCCAGTGCTTAAATAACAATAAGGTAATGAATAACTATTTCAGAACAGTATGCTACAGTTTTTGTTTAAGATTCACAGGAACCTGGCATCTGACAAACGTTAAGAACCAATATGAATGTGAGTGCAAAGCCATCAAAGTGTTGGTGAATCTTTACACCAGCAAAGCTGAGGGCTGTGAAGTGCGAGTGTTCAAATGGTCATGAGGTCAATTAAAGCTGAACTTTAATGTTTGTGCACCTAAAGTATTGAATGAAATGCACACATACGTAATGTCTTTCAAGTAATGATTTTTTCTAAACAGTGCTTTGCGACTCCTGATTTATTCTTCTTTTCTCCAGTTTGATTCCTCCTTTCCATATTTCCTCACACTGGCTTATTGCGGACAATCGAACAAAATGTTATCCAAGTATTTCTGCACCATTAAACTAGAGACATGGAACCACAGAGGTAACAACAACAACTTGCACTTGCGTAGAGCCTTCCACGCAGGGTGGCATCTCAGAGCGCTTAACAGTGGCGGAGACTGACTCCGAGCCGGGGATGGTGGGGGGTGGGGTTAGATGGCAATAAGCACAGTCAAAGAGGAAGGTTTTTCAGGCAGGAGTTGGAAAAGGGAGAGAGGAGGCAAGGCGAAGGGATTGAGGGAGTGTTCCAGAATTTTGGGGCTTGGTGGCTGAAAGCACGACCTCTGATGGTGGGGCAGGTGGTGCGAGGGACGAGCAGGAGGCCGGAGCCAGTCGAGTGGAGGTACCGGGTGGTGGATTGGGAGTGAGGAGGTCGGAGAGGTAGGGAGGTGACAGGAAGTGATTGGATTTGAACACCAGTGTGAGGATCTTGAAGTCGATCAGTTTGGTGATGGGGAGCCAGCGGAGCCTGTCCAGAACTGGTCCGATGTGGGTACAGAGTGTGGTCCGGGTCAGTATGTGAATGAGCTGGATCTTTTGAATGGTGGAGCTGGGGAGACCGGCGAGGAGTGCGTTGGAGTAATCCAAGTGGGAAGTGACAAACGCATGCAGAGGGCTTTGGCTGCGTTTGAGGTAAGGTACGATCCGAGGCGGGAATTGTGGCGGAGATGAAAGAAGCCAGTCCTGGTCAGGGACCGGATGTGGGGGGGAGGGGGGAAAGGACAGCTGGGGGTCGAACCAGACGCCTAGATTGCACACTGGTTCGGTGAGTCTGAGGGAGAACCCAGGGAGGTTGAGGAGTTTAGATCCTCAGGAGTGAAGATATTGACGGGACATGTGAAAGAGACATGGACAGATTATTGGGTGGGGATTAAAGGGTATTGTGAAATGAGCCATTGGGATTGAAATATCTAAGTCGAATAAACCGGTGGAATTGGTTCATTAGACTGAATGGCCTCCTCCTGTTCCTGGTTTACTCTGTTTCTATGTGTAACTCAGTGCTACAACAGATGATGCATTTACTTACTATGTCGCCAGTGAATTATGGTTCCATACTTACTAAGGATTTTGCTAAAAGTGGTGAAAAATGAAATATTGTGCTAAATTGATTTTAGCATAATCTAATTATGTAATTTCACCATATTAACAGTGCTAAATTATTAGCTGCATCTAACTTTCATATCTCCTTTAGTGTCTTCGATCACAGAAAGGTTGGACAAAGTGATTGTACCTGCAGATTTTCAGTTTGGTGTAAAATAGGTCATGTTAATATTGGCGAGTTAATAATTGGAGTTGTAGTCCAGATCAGACAGGCTCGAAGGTCTGAATGGCCTCCTCCTGTTCCTATTATAGGAATTTGACATTGGATTTGCTTGGTTTGTTTCAATCAAAATAATTGGCCTCTTTTCATGTATAAGTTTACTGAGCTTCATTCAAGCCAAACAGCACACCACAAAGCACTTTGGAATGGCGTATCAAGTCCTCGCAGCCAGTGTTTGAATGTGCAAAGATTTTGAGGCTCGGTTCCCCAGTGCTGCCTGTGTTTGCACCATCTGTTTCAGTTCATAACCCGCAATATGATGGACAGTTATGAACAAAATTACATGATAATCTGCCCTCTTATCAAAGAGATAGCATTGAGGTTCAACAGTGAGCCGTGGTTTCATTTGAGTTATTAAAGAGTCTCCTTTGAAATTGTCCCATGTTGAAACCCATTGTAATAATAATAATACTTACAATTGAAATAGGGCTTTTCACGTCTTCTAGACGTCTCAAAGCGCTTCACAGAATATACTGCAAAATTAATTGACTGTATATTTGTGGGCGAAACGTGGTAGCCAATTGCATACAGCAGTGTCCCACAAACAGTCATTAATTGACGTGGCCAATTTTGTTATTGTTTTTTTTCTTGAGGGTTTATTATCAGGCGGGTGGAGTAAGGAAACTAAGGTCTTCCGCTATATCTGCTCTAACCACTGAGCTACAGGACTCCTCAATATCATGAGTTAAATCATAAATTCTGTTGGGAGTAACCCATTATATTCCAGGGGTTTTATTTGGATTAAAAAAGTGACTTTGATGTAAAATTGCAAGTTTGAATTGCTCCCAACCTATCCTTCATCTTCAATTCCATTCTCTATAGGCTGGTTATATTGTGCCCCTGAAATATTTAATTTCAGTCACAAAATACATAGTCAATCCATTTTACAATATATTCTGTGAAGCACTTTAAGACATCTCCAAGATGTGATATGGC